AACAACAACAACAACAACAACAACAACAACAACAACAACAACAACAACAACAACAACAACAACAACAACAACAACAACAACAACAACAACAACAACAACAACAACAACAACAACAACAACAACAACAACAACAACAACAACAACAACAACAACAACAACAACAACAACAACAACAACAACAACAACAACAACAACAACAACAACAACAACAACAACAACAACAACAACAACAACAACAACAACAACAACAACAACAACAACAACAACAACAACAACAACAACAACAACAACAACAACAACAACAACAACAACAACAACAACAACAACAACAACAACAACAACAACAACAACAACAACAACAACAACAACAACAACAACAACAACAACAACAACAACAACAACAACAACAACAACAACAACACCACCACCACCACCACCACCACCACCACCACCAACAGCAACAGCAACAGCAACAGCAACAGCAACAGCAACAGCAACAGCAACCGCAACCGCAACCGCAACCGCAACCCCAACCGCAACCGCAACCGCAACCGCAACAGCAACAGCAACAACAACACCAACAGCAACAGCAACAGCAACCACCGCCCTTGATACAGAGGTCGGAGAATGTGTGAAATTGTCGTGGTTAGCACTGATGAGGTAACTGATTCGCGAGCCCCCCTGACTGCTTTGCCTGTTTTTCTTTGCATGAGAAGCTCCGAGTTTGGTTTGCCTGAAAGATTTGCATGGATGGACATCTTTTGCTTCACAACAGTGACGACAGCATGCCTGTTTTTCTTTGTATGAGAAGCGGGTGCACTTGGGCGGGTGTGCTTACCATTCCCTCCCCCCCCCCCAACCCAGCCCCCTCTCCCCCTAGAACCATGTGCTTGTAATCCGGGTAAAGAGCAGGCTGGGCTGAAACAGTTGAGCGGGTGTGTCATGCCCCCCCCCTAGAACTATGTTGCACGCGTGGACACAGAGCTGAGCGGGTGCACTTGAGCGGGTGTGCTTACCATTCCCCCCCCCCACCCAGCCCCCCTCTCCCCCTAGAACCACGTTATCTTGTAATCCGGGCAAAGAGCAGGCTGGGCTGAAGCAGCTTATCATGCCCTCCCCCCCCCAGAACTATGTCGCATGCGTGTACACAGAGCTGAGCGGGTGCACTTGGGCGGGTGTGCTTACCATGCCTCCCCCCCCCCACCCAGCCCCCCTCTCCCCCTAGAACCATGTTATCTTGTAGTCCGGGTAAAGAGCAGGCTGGGCTGAAACAGCTGAGCGGGTGTGCTTATCATGCCCCCCCCCTAGAACTATGTCGCATGCGTGTACACAGAGCTGAGCGGGTGCACTTGGGCGGGTGTGCTCACCATTCCCTCCCCCCCCCCACCCAGCCCCCCTCTCCCCCTAGAACCATGTTATCTTGTAGTCCGGGTAAAGAGCAGGCTGGGCTGAAACAGTTGAGCGGGTGTGCTTATCATGCCCCCCCCCCTAGAACTATGTCGCATGTGCACTTGGGCGGGTGTGCTTACCATACCCACCCACCCCCCCCCCCCAGCCCCCACCCCACCCCCAAGCAAGAGCTCGCTTTTAGAGCTGGATTTGTGTGGCAGGCGCAGCACTTTGAGCGGTAGGGGCGCGGTTGAGTACTCACACAGGGCGCAGCTGAGTACCTGCCCAAAGTGAGTTGCGAGATTGGGGGTGCTCGGGGGCGTGCGGGGTGTAGGTGCTGTTTGAGGTGCTGATGGCAGTGCGTACGCATATTTTCAAGATTGACGGTAGGGTGCTAGGGGGCATGCAGTTTGGGGTGCTCGGACGCAGGGGGGAACGCAGTTTGGGGTGCTGCTGCTGATGGTGCTGTGGGACGCAGTTTGTAGGGAGCTGTTTGAGTCGCTGGTGAGGGTGCGGGCGCATTTTTGCCATATTGATGCTCGGGTGCTATCGGGCATGCAGGTGACGGTGCAGGCGCATGTTTGCATCTTGACGGTAGGGTGCAAGGGGGGTGGTTGATTTTCGCAAGATTGACGGCTGGGAGTCTTGGGGGTGCTGTTTGGGGTGCTCTTCAGGGTGATGGTGCGGGCACATTTTGCTCGATTGACGGCCGGGTTTTGCTTGGGGCGTTCTTCGGGGGGGTGCTTTTGGAGGTGCTGGTGTGCAAGCGCCGCTATCTAGGGTCTATGCCGGTGTATTTCTTTTTTCGGCCTTTAGTTGGTTGAGTTGTCGTTTCCGAAAACTGAACCACAAACCCCTCAAACCCCTCAAACCCCCCCAGACCCCTCAAACCCCCCAAACCCCCCAAACCCCCCAAACCCCCCAAACCCCGCAAACCCCCCAAACCCCCCAAACCCCCCAAACCCCCCAAACCCCCCAAACCCCCCAAACCCCCCAAACCCCCCAAACCCCCCAAACCCCTCAAACCCCCAAACCCCCCAAACCCCCCAAACCCCGCAAACCCCCAAACCCCCCAAACCCCGCAACCCCCCACACCCTCCACCCCCCCCCGGCGTTGTTTCCTTTTTTGTTCGATCGTTGAAAACGGAGCGCCCAGTTTGATTCCCGGTCTCGAGAGGCCGCACCCCGGGGTCATGCTGCAGCTGGAGGACCTCGCGGCCTCGACTTTAGCTTTGGGCTGCCCCGACGTTTGGGAAACCAAAAGGAACCCATCGCCGTTTCGGGGTCTAGAGGGAAACCAGCTCAGATCAAGCCTTTTCAGCTTCCCACTCATTTTGGCGGTTTGGCTTTAAAGGGAAACCAGAAAGGATGTTGCTCCATTTCCCTGCATCTCTCGCACCAGCATGTTATCTTGGCATCCTATGTTGTTTTTGTTTCTAGTTTTCCAGCTAGGTGCCCTTTTACCAACTTTTTTTGGTGGAGGGTACCCCTACTAAAATAGACTACGGAAGAAAGGGTACCCTTATTCTAACTTTCAGCTTCTCACTAATTTTGGTGGTTGGGCTTGGGGGGTTCCAGTGGTGGTTTCCCATTACCATAGAACCAGGGGCTCAAATCCAAACCACCGATCCAACCCAAACCACCGATCCAACCCACTCAGAGTTACCTGATGTTTTGTGCGATTTAGTTGGAACCCTGAGAGACCTACATTGGGTGCTTCTAACAATGGTGGATCCCCTTTTGGTATTTGAAGAGAAACCCAAAGGACACCAGCCATCTGAATGGACCGATTGCTTTGCAGAAGCACCCCACATACTTCGAAATGGCGCTGTAACAAACCTGGGTGTTTCTCGAAATTGGGGACCCCTCAAAATGGCGGTGTCCTCTTGGTGTCCCTCAAAAACCCAGGCGGAAAGGCATCATCGGACTCCTGGACACCCCCCGCACAAAAAGCCTTGAGTTCGGGGCGAGGACGTTTCAAGTCTCAAAGGACGTGGGCAACGCAAACACCAGATTGGGTGTCTTGCCTTTTTGTCTTTCTTTGAGGCGATCCTCTTTGGAGTTGGAAAATCGAAATGAACACCGTTTTGGGCCATTTTGGGGGGGTTGACCCAGCTTTAAAAAAAGGCAGATCAGCTTCTCAAGTCTGTTTCGCACCAGTGGTACTTTTTGGGTTCGGACCAGTGGTAAGTAGAAAAACCCGCCCTAGCGTGTCTTGCCCCCATCGATAAAAAATGGCAAGGATCCAGTTTGGAGTCGAACGGTAAATTATGGCGGTTATATCAACACCCTTTGTTTTAATGGTGGTTTGAACCCCAGCGTTCATATCCGTTTTTAGCCAATCTACTCGATCGGAAGTGAGTTGGAGACACGCGCGCGTCAAACAGCTCTGGGGCCCTGTTAGATGATTGAGCGGCTATTACCTTATTGATTGGGAACCTCAGAGAATAAACTTCTGGGGGTGTCCCCTTTTAGTGAGGATTCATTTTTGGAGGGGACATCTTCCGATTAATAGGACGTGTTTATTGATCTGGGGTCATCATTAGAATGCTAAGTTATAGCTCATTCCAACAGAAGTCCACGATTTTGAAACATACCCTTAGAGGGTAATGCATTAGCTGGGAGAAATTATCAAGTCAATCATGCTACGGTGTTGCACTTTTAGGTGCACTCAATATCGCTGCATGTCACTTGACTGCTATTGGGTTGGATCTTTAGACTTTAATTTTTTGGGAAACAAAGGTGTTTTCCACTAAACCCCCAAAAGTTAAGCTTTTTGCAGGGAGGTCAACAGCAACCAAGGTCATGTTCACGTTTAGTTCGGGGATGTTTGGGGCACATGCCGAGAATTGGTGGTTCGGGTTGATGGTTTGGGGTCAATTGGAAAGGCGAATCCATGCACTTGACTCGTCCAGGGCTTTCGCTTTCGCTTCTGCAAAAGCAAGGCTCTTGAAGGCTCTTTCAAAAGGACACTTTCATCATTACCCTCGAGAAGGTGACAAGGACATCTACCCCACGCATATCTTTGTGAGTGCCCCATGTGGGTATGGGTCAAAGTTAAACCACCAGGAATCGGACCTGGACCGCAGGTTAAATCGTCCGCAGGGTTCCATTTCCCAGGGCTCCATTTAGGGGTTACCCTATTTTTGACAACCACAGCCATGTGTCCGCTGTAAAGCACTCACGCCTCATGCCGCCTCATGCCGCCGCCATTTTCCAAGAAAAGAGACGGCCATGATCCTTTGCTCATGGTGCTGTTCTTTCCACCTCCGCGAGTTCTTGGCAAACCGCACCCTTTGACACGTTGCCTTTTTCATGAAAACAATGAGCCCGCTCATAGAGATCTCCAGGAGTTCTCTCAGGAGTTGCGAGGGTGCGGCGAGTTGCAAGATGGCACCCTTCGCCCAAGAAAAAGACGTGCCTGGCTTAAGCTGGGACCCCTCCGGGTTCCTTGGGTTTTTCTTGGGAGACCGGATCCAAAATGAGCCGCACCAGCTCAAGTAATAGCATGCCCGCAATTTTGGCACACAGCTCAGCTGGGCCGAACCTGAGCTCAGACAATACGACGCTGGAAGCAAGCCAAAGAACCCAGGAAGCGAAGAAAGCCAAAGCATAAAACGCAGACCGGAGACCACCCGCAAAGCGGGGCTCGGGGCATGGCCACCTTGCGGGCATCCAAGAGCGGGTCTTTGGCCGAGAAGGCGCGGGAGAGGTACCCAGACACGTGGGCCGCTAGCCCCAGTTGTTTTTTCTCCGACACGTTTTTTTTTTGGGACGCGGGGTAAACTCCATGATTATTATTTTAGCAAGTACCAAAGAGCAGCGTTTTTTTCTCCAATATCCTACACGGTGTCTCATACGTCAAGCGCATGGCCCAACTGGTGATTAAACCACACAAAAAGGGGGGACCTTAGTGGCTATTTGGTCGGATCTTTGGACTTTAGCTTTTTGGTTGACACAGGTCGGATTTTCCATTGGACCGACTAAACGTTGTTCACTTTTTGCAGAGGGGTCAACAGCAACCAAGATACATCTTACTCTTTGTCGAGTTCCGGACCCCAGTTCTTGTTGCGTGGCAGAATCTTCGAATTCGGTTGCTTGCATGCTCGCGGGTGCAAGAAGCCAGGTCTTCGCAACCTGGCGCCATGACTTGACCATTAAGGTCACCTGACCATCAAGAATCAAGGTCACCGCTTGGATGTTCAACCCACGTCGGGTCAGTGGGTGTTTGAGCATGGGTTGGTCGACTGATAACTGTACTTTGAACGCTATATTTTACCTGCTGAGTAGGATTTCCAAGTTGGGGAACCACCCCCAGCTCTGGTCTTCGATCCAGCCGCCAAACGGTCAACCACATCTGCTATTTGTCATGTGTCGTTTGCTTCAGGCTTGCTACTTAACCTACTTCAACATTTTGTTGCTGGGCGGGTGTCCGTAAAAAAATCCTTCAGCTGGACCCCTGGAACATGGGTATGTGTCTGAATATGGGGACTCGCCAAAATATTGTTGGTTTTCCCTTTGTTCACCCTTTAAACCAACCGGCAAGGGTAACCTGCCTGAACAAATGCACACTCACATTTCCTCAACGCATTCCAGAGAATTTGCACGCGTCTGGATCATTCGGGTGTGTCTGTTTTGAGGAATCTTACCCGCCCTCCCCCAATGTTTCCTCATGGTTCCGTCAAAAACCACTGCAAAAAGGTAACCTTCAAGGGAAGCAACACTAAAACCTTCCTTAAACACCCCCCCCCATCCCCATCAGCCCCCTCCATCAACGCCCCCCCCATCACCCCCAACCCTAGCCCCTCCATCCCCATCCCCCTCCTCCCCCCCCCCCCTTCACTCCCGCCGCAGGGGCCCTTCGGGCGCCTGGCCAAGACCAAAACCTGCGTCTGCGCCGCCTCCGCCTCCCTGGGCCGGGAGCGCAGCCGCTTGCTGAAGCTCGAGCAGAGGCGCGCGCCTTGCAAGCGGCGCCTTGGGGGGGGGGGGGGGGGGGCGGTTTTTTGAGACAAAGACGCGGCGGTCAGGGAAAAACAAGACCCTGGAAAAAAAGAGACACCCAGGGAAGAACGCTGAACATCGTTTTTGTTGTTTGTTTTTGGTCCGCTTGTTAAGGTTAAAACACCCCTTGAAGAGATCGTGGGCCTGGTTTGGGGAGGTTTAAGCGAGACGTGCAATCAAACCAGGTGTTTCCAGGCAATCAGAGGTGCAAATCTTGTTTCTCCAACTTGTTTTTTGGAGGGGGAGCAAAAAACAGTTGAAGTCAGCAAAAAGCGAAGAGTGCAAACTATGTTTTCCCCAAAGAGAGCTAGTTTGGGGTCAAAGAAGAGCGAGCTCGCCACGATGTAGGTTTTGGAAATTGTCTGGTTTCAGGGTGTTGTGCTTGTTTTTCACCACAGCCTTTGCTTGGTAGATATTCAATGGGCTTGGGAAGAGGCGGTATTAGTGAGAGGTTTGGCCGGGGGGTGTTTGGTCCAACCAGCCTCGAACCAGGAGTTCTTTGCTTTCAGATGAGCTTGGGCAGCATGCCCCCCTTCACTCTTGCTTTGTATTTACGAAAAAGCAAATTTGAGGGACATTATTGGTTCCCAAATCTATAACCGTGTTCAGCGAACTTGCTCGCGCGTTGTTGGATGAGTTCGCCATGCGAAAAACGCAAAGCTGGTGAAGATCTACCAAGGACCCATTTTCTCAATTTGCGCCCTGGAAGCGATTGGCTTTCCTCAGCTTGGATCTTCTTCGGCCGTAAGTTCAGCTTCCCTCGAGGACTCGGTTTGGAGCACGGCGGTTTGGAGGTGTCTGCGTGGCTTCCCGTTACGAGGACCAAGGCTCGACTCAGCCAATCCAAACCACCGACTCAGGGTTACTTGATATGAGAAGTTGCAATTCTTGAAGGGAAGATCGAGTGCCCTCTGTTGAGCGATGGTTTTTTGTCTTGTGTTAAAAGGAAAAATCCATATTTGCCAACCGGGCAAGGATTGAGCAGTCATACTGTGGATGGCACTTTGAAACCAAGCCGTTGAAGCCATGTGTGTGTTGCTATCTACTTTGGGGAATCGACTAAGCCATGTGTTTGTTGCTATTTGGGGAATCGACTCATCCCAAGGTTTCTGAATGGTGGTGCCGTCAAGGGGATGTGGAGCATTGGCTTTGGCTCTGTCCGGTCGGATCTTTTGCGGCCAGTCGCCCGGCCTTGAAGTGGTACGCGTCGGATTCGACGCGGGCGGTTGGTCAAGTTTTTTTTTTTTTTTTTTTTTTTTTTTTTTTTTTTGGTTGACCCCAGATCAATAAACCCCGCATTATTAATTATTAATATTGGAGTGCTCCTGGCTTTAGTTGGGATTCAGCACTTTTGAAGGGGAACACTTTTTATTCAAAAACATGTGTTTTATTTATATGGGGTGACAGGCCGAATAAAAAGGCAGCGAGGTAGAGCCCCCGTAAGTCCAGATCTTTCCCCAAACGGTTTTACATCACGGTTTTCGTGGTTTCCTACTATAGTGGCAACTGGAAGCACTGGGAATATATATATATACACCAAACCAGGGTCCATGGGGGGGTACTTTATATATATATATATATATATGTATGTATGTATGTATGTATGTATAAGTCCAGATCTTTCCCCAAACGGTTTTACATCACGGTTTTCGTGGTTTCCTACTATAGTGGCAACTGGAAGCACTGGGAATATATATATATACACCAAACCAGGGTCCATGGGGGGGTACTGTATGTATGTATGTATGTATGTATGTATGTATGTATGTATGTATGTATGTATGTATGTATGTATGTATGTATGTATGTATGTATGTATGTATGTATGTATGTATGTATGTATGTATGTATGTATGTATGTATGTATGTATGTATGTATGTATGTATGTATGTATGTATGTATGTATGTATGTATGTATGTATGTATGTATGTATATATTTTGAAACTCCTAGCTCCGTCGCCAGGTGTCTCCAGCGCACGCTGCGCATTGTGGAGAAGGAGGAAGCTGCGGGCACCTTAGCTTGGTCCATTTTGAGATCCTTATGGAATTTTCTGAATGAGTATGTGGAAGTGGGGGGGGGGGGGGGCAAACGCAGTTTCTCACTTCCCGAGTTCCTGGACTTTAGTCACTGATTGGGTTAACGGACCATTTTGGTGGTAGACAAGCAGTTTGGACTCTTTTTTGGGCCATCCACGAAGTGAGTCCAAGTAATTGGCCAGACTTCCCATGGTTGTCCAAACGAATCGCCAAGACGAAGTGGACCCCCCTAAAAGGCGCTACGCCAGTTCTTGCAGGTACTCTTCGACTGCCCAAGAAAACATGGCAGGAAAGGCACGAGGCGCCTTCGTCGCTGGCCCCTAGTGGGGGCCTTCTTCGCGGCGAAAAACATATGAGCGAGAAGACTGCGGGCAGTCTGAGGTTTGAATCCTTTTTTTGGTGGCCCCCAGCCATTCCCTTAAGCCTTAGCTTTTTAGTCTTTGAGTGCTTAGTGGAGTTTTCCATTTAGCCCACCAAAAGTTCAACTTTTAGCGGGGGATCTGAGGACAGCCCAGTTTTATTTCAATTTTGGTTTGCCGCAGCCTTGCCTCCTGTGCGCGTTTTGCTTCGAGCAAGCGGTTTTTTTGACCGCTTCCAAGACATGGTGTTGCAAAAATTTGGCTACTGAGGCCCAAAGACAGCGCGGGCTTTAACCTCTCTGGCATGTCCCGGCAGGTTTTCTGGTGGGCAGGTCATTGGCTGGAGGGGTAGTCCATTCCTAGTTTGATATGACATGCACCCGCCTCAACTCCAAAGAAGTACCAGACCCAGCCACGTTTACCATGTTGCTTCAAGTGAGGCCAGATTTGGTTCCCATTGTTTGGTGGCTACCCAATCCTTCAATTGCCCCGAACGGCTTTCTTTTGGGGGGGTAAAACTTCTCCCTCGTTGGGTACAAAAACGAATTGGGTTTGTTTTCAAGAAAACAGGCACCCACAACTCAAAGGCAGGGAGTTGGAAATCCACATATGTGCCATGGTTGGCTGACAGGGATGGTTATCCACCTGGTCAGGATCCTCAATAGTCATTATAATGACTCCTATTGCGAACGCAAGAGGTGTATAATGATTCCTAGGGAACCATAGGCCATAGGCCAAAACGGGGTTCTGACTTTGGCTATGACAAGGTTTGCCGCCCACCAGACATCCCCAAAGTTAGGGGTCTTTGGAACTAACCCCCCAAACGTCTCAAGATACACGGCTCATGCCCATTGGAAACGTCTACCCAGACCTCGACTCCAGGTGCGGGTTGAGGTGGAGAACTGGGGTGTGGTCAAAAGGTCCTTTACATGGGATGACCATCTGATGGAACACCACTAAAAAGATGATATGTCCCACATAAGTTACATGGTCATTTGAGCGCCGCGGAATATTGATCCACCCCCAACTGCTTGGAAAGGGACTGGGTGCCCCACAGCTCTCCCAAAGGTCGCTAGAGAGAGAGAAAAAAGGCGTGGCTCAGTGGCTCAGGTCGAGGATCTGGAGAATGAGGCCTCGGATCCCGACAAAAAACCTCGGGCGGGGTGGTTGGAGGGGAGCTAGGGAGCCGGGAGGCTAGGGGATCCAAAAGGGAGAAGCGGGCGGGAAGTTTTCTCCGTCTCGGCGAGTCTGGAGGTCGCTGGTTGGCAGAGCCAGGGAGCTGGGGGTGTCCAAGTCTGCTTCAAAAGCGGGCGCCCTTCGAAGCTACCGATCGGAGTTCTGGAAGGAGAAGGTATTCAAGCGACCCGTCATATTGCAGCGAGGAAAGCCCATGCGCTGCCCATTTTCTGGGTTTTGATGGTGGCTGGGTAGAAAAGTATGACAGAATCTGAACATCTTCTTTATGTCGACCTCCCATTTATGATATGATTGGGAAGCTGATACTGAGCACCAGAGAAGCAGACGCTGGTTCCACGGCCTTCGATATGGATGCGGTTGGGAATGTTTGCCACAGGAATCTACCCACATCCCAAGCCTTACCCAGTCCGTAAGCCTTTTCTGGCATGGCAACTCGTGGAGTCGGGTTGACCCCTGCACTCCCTTGCGACCATCTCTGAGACCGCTGACGACTGGTTGCCAGACCAATTGGATCATTTTCCCAGTTGTTCAGTGGTACCCTTTTTCCCCTTTGTTTTGGTGGCTGCCCCACTACCAATGGTCTTCCCCAAAAAGGGTTCCCTTTACGGTCACTGAACAACTGGGTTTTCTGGGCAAATGCCCCGCCAGGGGCCGCGGCAAACGCCCGACATGAAGCACTCCTTCAAAGCGGATGATCTGGCTCGCTGAGTTAGCTTGCTGTCTGGCCTCGTTTGGCGAATGGGGTTGTCAGATTGGCATGTTTGATCTTGGCGAGTTCCATTGGCTGCAATGGACTGCCGCAAACAAAAAGAAACAAAAACAACTGTCACTTTCCCAAAGAGAATTGACCTGACTCCGACCTTGTGGTTTCCCCCTTTGGGCCGCCATTTTTCGTATCCCCAAAACCGGGCAGAAGACTCCCTGGCTTTTTTCCGTAAAAGAATCCTGAAAAACGACAACACCGGGAAGCTCCCCCGCTTTTTTCTCGGTGAACAACTCCCCCGACCAAAAAAAATAGGGCGAGAAGCCGCGCGAGGTGGAGGCTCGGGAGCGGGAGCTGGCGGAGAAGCGGGACGCCTTCTTGCTGGAGGAGCAGCAGGTGGCCCAGAACTTGGAGGCGCGAGCATGTGTCCGAGCGCCGGCGGAGTCGCGTCCAATGAAGACCGATGTTTCGGGTAAAGGAGGGGAGGCGTATTACTTTGTCCCCCTTTTTTTTAGGCGCCGCCGGCTGAGTCACGTCCAATCAAGACTAGGTTCCCCAGCTAGGTGCCCTTTCTCACCGTAACTTTTTTGGTTGGGAGGGTTCCCCTACTAAAATAGACTACAGAAAAAAGGTTGGTGCCCTTATTCTAACCTCTCTACTGGAGCACCTAGAAGACCGATTTCGGGCAAAGGAGGGGAGGCGTATTCCTTTCGCCTGCTTAGTTATTTACATGGTAGAATTAGAATGGTCTCGCTATAAACGAAGCATTGGGGATCGCCCATTCTATTGCCGGGGTTTGAGTATGACTCAGCTGAGCCTCAGCGGGCGAAACGAACTGACCGCGAAACGGACTGACCCGCAAAACGGTGGTTATATAACTGGGAAACTTGTTTCGCTTCCATTTGCTGATTTAATATGTGTGTGGTTTCCCTTTATCGATTTCGCTACAGGACTGTTTGTTATTTTTTCCAGGCGGCGACAAAGCAAATGGAAGTTGGGGATCCTTTGGTGGACCTCATTGTGGAGGGGATTCACGTTCAACCGCTTTTTGTGGTGGTTCCCCACTAAGATTTATTGCCGTATGAGCGTATGTGTTGTTCTGTGTGGGGTGTGTTTAGAGGGGAGATAAAGCTAACACAGCCATTTTAGGGGTTCCCCAAATTTTGAGATCTTACGGGTGTTGGTCGACTTTTCGCTGTCCGGCGACACTCGATTTTGTTCGGCGGGTGCGTACCCGGCCAAGACGGGCAGGCTCTCTCTCCTTTCTTACAAACACGTATTTGGTGATTCTCTTCGTAGACTTTGCGAGTTCCAGCGGAACCCCGGAATCGTTCCCTTCCATCTGCCTAAATATCTTTTTCCCCCTGTTGGTTTTCAAGGGAGTCTATGATGTCTTCCAGGGATGCGGGAACCTGTTGCTTCGGGAACCTTGGGGAGGGGGCTGAAGCTTAAATGGATATGTTGCATGTGGCAACTCTTCCCCATTAAGAATACTGTGGATGGACGAAATCCATTTCGCCCCACCTGAGGAACCCTGGAATGATGATTCCCCTGCAATTAAAGATGAACAAACGTTATGGTTTCAACCATGGCTTCATTTCGTGGTGCGACCTGACTTTCTCCATCCACGGTATTTGTGTGTGATTTGTTTTAGGGACCCCCCCGGGAAAAAACAAGAGAGGTGTTTTCTCCTTCTTGGTTCCCTTCAAAACCACAAAACAAAGGACAGCGCCCTTAACAGCGGACACCCAACACATCCATGTCTCTCGTCCACTTCCTTTCGAGGCGCTGCAAAAGAGCACGCGGGAGGCTCAACAGCTCCAGGCGACTCACTCGCCGACTCGCCGACTCGATGCTGGCGCCCGGACGTCGAGTTTCCTTTGGGCTTCCCTTGAAGAAACCACTCCAAAAGGGGGCCTCCAAAAAAGACGAGCCACCCAACCCACAGCATTCCCAGGGAATCCAGATGCAACCATTGCCCGCCATTTGTCCTGTTGGAATCTGGGGCCTCAAAATAGGCCCTTTTGACACCCTAAAGCAACTCGGGCTGTGGTACGGGGACCCCCGTAGGGTACAAACTATTTAGCCTCTTGCATAGTAGGTAGGGCCAGGGTTCCGGAATGCACAGGTTCCTGTTGGAGATAACATCTGGTTGCCTATCTCTTCGCGGGTTTTTGACCAAATCCCCCGGACACAAACACCCTTTCCATGAAACCCAAGCTTTGACGCACAGGCGCGTCCCTTTTTTTCTCCATGTTGTTTTTCTTCGGGACCCCCCCCCCCAGACATAGTTCAAGGCCACACCCAAAAGAGTACCCTCAAACAGAAACACACACACACACACCCAACTGCATGCAAACTGACAAAACGGGGGTGTTCTCTTGCTTCGAGATACCCTGCCCCCCAAATCAACCCTTTGAGGGCAATAGAGGTTATGTTTATTTGTTTCTTCCAACACCGAAAATGACTTGCATTGCCCAATATCATGTAGCCCCTGAAGTGGCGGTTATTGGTGGCTTGGGGAAATGAACCTCTGGTCCCTTTTCGGAGCACCCCTAAATCAGCAATCAAAACGAAACGAATCGAATCTACCTATTGAGTCCAATAGGATATTAGCTTCATACAGTCCGTACATCCTGCACAAAGCACAGGGTGTCCATAATTTGCGCCCAGGCCCTATGGCGGCCCGCTCTCTATTTGAAGGGAACTCTTGTCTGAATTTGGATTGTCTTGATAGGCCAGGGGGCCAAGAGGTCAATTTGGATGATATTATGTTGGTGGATCAAGAGGGTCACGCGCTTTATCTGTCAGGTTTCAATGACATGGAACAGCTTTTTGGAGGGTTCCGCAAAGCCAGTTCTCTTGTTTCCGTTTGTCTTCGAGGCCGCACGGGTAGGGTTTTGGCGCATGTGGTCTGACACTTGAAAGCAATTTCTGGAAGCCAAACAGGAGAAGAGACGGATAGAGTGCAAGTGCAGAGATTCGATGCCACAGACAAAGAGACAAGAGTGCATTGCACATATCGAGTGCCCCAAGTATCTTAAGTTGAACGCAAGAAAGAGGGCCTTGAGGGCCACGACTGTGAGGGAGAAGCGGAATGAATTCAGCTTGCATCTTTTTCCGAATGAAAAAGCTGAAAGAGCAGATGTTGATCCAGGCACAGCGTGGAGCAACGAGGTGAAGCGTATGGTTGTGCGTATTGTCTTCCACCTCCAGTCGGGGAAGCCATGATGGATTTGCATTTGCCAACTCGTTGCTGCCTTAACCTAAATCAATCCCGCTGTTTCGTGCGCCGTTTACTTCGATTCGCTTGCGATGCTGCGAGGAAAACCTCGGTGGCACTGGTGTTCTTTTGCGGCGCACCGGCTTCGAGCCGCTTCTGAGAGGTCGTTGGCTTCTCGAACGGCATCCCCCAGACTGACATGGAAGCTCTCAGGAGCCCTTTGGAAGACTTGTGGGAGCTTCCATGTTAGTCTGAGGGAGTGTAAAGAGTTCAGACGAGGGCGTGCCCCATTGCGTACACTGCACAAATCGCTGGTCCAGGTGCAATGTCTACAGTGAAGGAAGTCACTGGGCCGTGCGGCTTCATAGATCTATGGTTCGTTCAGAAGTTCAGAGGAGTAGGGTGCTTCCATTGCTCGCCAGTCATGGCGCTCCTGCCGCTTTTAGAAACTGGAGTGCCCACAGGAGCCATTTCGCAGGTGCATGGATGTCTACACCAGTGGGCCGTGCGGCTTCGTGGATCTGTCTCATGGTTCGCTTCCTCTCGCGCTGGAATCTGACCACATGGGGTCTCTTACACATGTCATATCTCAGGGTTGAGGAAATATGTAGCTGAATCTGAACTATTGATTTTCTGCAGAGTTGGGATGCATGTGCTTGAAAACCGGAGCCTGCGGAAGAACCAGACAGCTCTTCAGGCGGCGAATTTGAACATGAGCCAGGTAGAAGAGTAAGGCAGTCATGGCGATTCTAAAGTTGCAAAAAGGTCCAAAGGTGATTCAGAGCCAGAACAAAACTTGCTGGTGCTCAGAAGGCAATGACCCAGGGTTTGGAAATGCCCTAGGACACCAAATCGGGGATGGCTTTCTTGGGTCATTCCAAATTCCAAGTCTTCCCAGAAAAGTAGCCATGCGAAGCTGATGGCCCTTGGTGTAATAGTCACGGCTCCTGTTGCTGCGGCTTTGCATCATATCAAAATGAGCCATGAAGCTTTTGAACAGATACGAGTCACGTATAATGTTTGAACAACAGCTACCTTGCACTCATTCTGCCCTTTTGATTTTCCCATGGTCCATATGTTCGTAGACTCAAAGGTCAACCTTTTAGTTCCAAGTCCCATGACCTTTTGCCGGTCAGCGAAGTTTGAGCAGTGGAACTTCGTGGGATGAGTTGGCGAAATGCTCTTAGGCACCACCATTCGGAAATTGTATGATTCGATTCCTCGGTACATAGTCTCGAAATAGGGACTCGGACCCTATTCTTCTGCTCTTAATTTCAAAACCCGGATGGCTGCGGGTCAAAACCCTGTACCCCTGGTGAACGTCAAAATAGGTGGCAAATGGATGTTCATCCGCCCCAAAATGGAGCTATAGGTTATGCCCCATTTTTTTTGTTCGTAGCCCGCCTTTGCTCACCTGTTCCACCGTTCTGAAGGCGTCCCTCGCCGAACGCCAGCAAGAGGCGCAAGCGCGCGCGTCGGCGGTTTCGGCCCTTGAAACCCAAAACCCAACCAGCCCACCTCGTCCCTCGTCCAGTGGGATGTGTGAAGGGGAAACAAGTGGAATCCCTGGAATTGCCCCGCAAGTATCGTACAATCTTGTGTTGCTTCGCTGGCATCTATGCAATCCACCCAGATTGATTTGGGAAGCTTGCATTCCAGTTCTGGAGCCTTCCTTAGTGCAGTGTCCATGCTCCAACGATTTCAAGATACGATTTCGCTGTTTTTGGCAAAGCATCGGCCAGGATGGCGTCATCCACTTTTCATGTTCTTTACATAACAACCGAACCCCCGCAAGCGGCAGCAGTGTCCTCCAGCAACATGGGAACTTATCAAACCCCACCCATGCTGTTCAAACTTAGTGAGGATATGCCCGCAATGTACCACTAGGATATGCCCGCAATGTACCACTAGCACATCTATGCACATTGTAACGAACCTGCCTGGGGAAAGGAGGTCGCCAATGAGGGTCTTTCACTTCTGAATGCCTTATGTTCAATGTGCGCCCAAGATATTTAATTTCCATCAATACAGATACTTCAGTGCAGGGCTCCTTAAAAGATACATTTTGCCCATTTGAAACATGTTGCTTTTTCAACACCAAAATAGAGGGACACCACCATTTGCAAGTTGCAATGTTCAGGTGTATAGTGCAAGGATCCCTGTTCAGTCAGACAACAGTTTACGCTTCTTGCCTGTCTCGAAAAGACACCATGAGGTCAGCCGCGGATCGAATTCACAAGTTCGTTTTGTGTAGCAGCCGTGGGACGGTCAAATATCACCCTGTTTTACATGTACAATTATACAAGGCTTCCCAGCTCCAAAATTAAGCGCGCACACCCCCGTAGGCCTCTTCCTGAAGGATTCTAGGGGGAGAAGGTTGCAATCGCTCAGACCTTCAAGAAGCGCAACTTTTGTCTGGCCAGTGTATATACAACACGTGGGTATGTTGTTTTCAGGTTACTTGCTTGGGTTGTTTTGAGGGAAACCAACGGAATCGAGCACTGACATGTCAGTTTCTTTGTTGTTTTTTCCCAAGGGGATTCCCTTGTTTGAAGATATACCAATATAACTTTAACCCGGATTTAATAAACCCTGGTTGATTCATCGGGGTGTCCCCTTGTTGCAGGGGAACACCCCCGTAATAATGCGGTAGGAGTTAGGCGTTTTTAAAAAGGCCTGTGCGGTAGTCCACACGCAGGGGTGCGACAAACAACTTTCAAAATCAACAATGTTCTTTTGAAACAATCATATTTATGTTGAATATTCTTTTGATAGAATGACTGTTTCTAAACAAGTTTTTGAAACATCTTTTTCAATTAAAAACAAGTTTCACAAATAATGAGAAAGTTTCCAAAACAACTTTTTGGGCATGATGAAATATTTCTTCTTTTCTTTGGCAGCAAGTTAGTCAAATGAAATGGTTGTTGACATCACCGGTCACTTAATCCAGAAACAATATCTTGGAAACATTTGCTTGGCGAGATACTGAAGGAGTTACATTGAAGCTCTTTGGTAAGCATTTTCATCGCAGCCTGCCCTTTGGCTCAATGGCTGCCCTGGGGCTGGATCAGGTTTTAGAGCTTGCCAACGAATATGACGCGCAGGGCAATGAAGGCCGCGGTGAAGGCGCAGAGAGGGAGCGCCGGCGCGGCCGGGGTCAAGCCCGGCGCCAGCCATTAGGAAGAGGCCTAAGGCAACGCAATCAAAGGGCGAATCTGCAGGCCCGCCGGGCTGGGGCGCGCTTTGCGGTCAAGAAACGGCAGCTTGTCTTGCAGAGCGAGCACTTCAACAAGACAGGGCAGGCGCGCACGCAGGATCACCAGCTACCAGATGCAGAGCTCAGCAGAAAGGTTGCCACAGCCAAAGGGAAATGGAAGACCTGGACGCTCGAAGCTGTTCTTAGGGCTGGGTTCGGGCACGAGACAGCGACCTGCAGACAGGTAGCGAGCGAGGTGGAGGGCGCGTCTGCGAGCCATTCGCGAAATGCTCGGTTTGCTTGCGCGTCGGCGGCTTGCAGGTTTCAAGAACAAAGCTGTGAGAAGGTCGCAGCAGACTCGTTGGCCCGCCCTTTGAAGTTTTTCATCAGAAGCTTGATGTTTGACGAGTCTAGCTTTGCGTTGAAGGTCGGCACAGACCCGGCAAACAGCTGCTCAGTGTTGTGCTCGCATGCGCAGTGGGCCATGGCCTCTCCTCCCAGCGTGGCGGGCGGCCAACCCACTATCAGGGACGAGCATGTTGTCCGACCTCCGCAGATCTTGGCACCAATGAATAGCGCCACAATGTGGAAAACATTGTCGGAGCATCCAGGAGGCCTCGGGCCATGCAACGTGGCAGCCGAGCACACTTGTACGCTAACTACGCGCGATTCCCATTCAGCAAACATCAAAATGCTTAAGCATTTCGACAGCACCCTTCCAGCCGACCACTTATTCCTGCCCACTTTATGTGCGCAGCACAGGAACGGGAACGTGGTAGAACAACTAACGCACTTGCTGGGGAATTTGTCTGGTTGTTTTTGTGTTTCTCGAGTGCTGAACTCCCGGCACGCGGTGCAAGCCCTACGGCGGCGAACGCGCGCTGCGCTGGAGCGGGACTTGGTTTTTCTTGGAGTCCGAGCCCGTTGGCGTTCAGGCGGAGTGGGCCGAAGCAAGGTCGCTGACCAGGAGGTTTTTAAAAATGGAGCAATGTTTGACGCTGCTGCCAAGAAAGATGATGACAGTGCAGCTGACGCGGCCGCCGCTGGCGAGGCACAAGTCGAGCTCCCTGCCGGCCGAGCGCAGCTCCTGGATTTCTTCAACGGCCCGTGGTCAGGACTACCTTTGGCATGCGTGGGTTGGGTTACAGCCAAGAGTGTTCAGTTTTTGTTGTGTTTAGTCTATGCATGCAGGTTTGTGCGACGTAACCTTTTAGACGGGTGTCTTTGCCGGGTTCTTGTCGGCGTTTGGTTTTTTTGTTTTTTGGGGCCAGTGTTTGGATGCAAGCATGCGTGTCGTAGCTTTTTCTGCTCGCAGTCTTTTGACAGCGCCCTTTCTGTGTTGCAATGGCCGACAGCGCAGATCTAAGTGTTGGCGAAGTTGAGCAGCCCTGCGAGAAGGGAGGGCCGCAGGCCGAGGCGGGCCGGCTAGCGCCGGGCCGCTGGCCAGCGAGAAGGGAGGTCCTGTGGCTGAGAAGGAAGGGCCGCTGGCCGGCGTGGCCAGCATGGCTGACACAGGGCCGCAGGCCGCGGGCGTTTCTGGCACAGGGGCGCAGGCCGCGTTGTCTGGCAACGCAGCCTTGGAGTTCTTGCTCCAGAGACGTTCGCGGAACACTGGCTTTGCGGACTGGATGCACTCGCTGGCCCCGGCTGACGCTCGCAGAGTCATCTTGAACAAGGCAGATGCCTTCGGCACCACGAGTGCAGACGCGCAGGTGCAGCAGATGAGTTCTGTCTTGGTGAGCGATGCGTATGGCGCCCAAGGGCTGGTCGTTGCCGCAAAGCGACAGAAGAGAGGCCAAGGCAGACGCAGAGGGAGAGGCCAGCGGCCGCCGGCCTTGCAAGGCGACGACGACCTTTCCTTTTCGGAAGGCTGGGGCTCAGATTCGGCCTCGGAAGCGGAGGAAGTCGAGGCGAATCCTGCCAGCTCGTCCGCAGGACCAGGGTCGGCTAGTTCGTCCGCAGGACCAGGGTCTGCCGCTGCTGCTTCCAGTGGGCCTGCTCCGCCTGTGAAGCGCAAGCTGCAATCCAGAGCCATTCCTTGGGGTCCATTTCAGATCGCGCCGATCGTCCCGGCCGGCCAGAGTGGGTGGGGAGCCATTTGCGGACAGCATTGCGATCAAGGGAACACGCTGTCTTGCAAGAAGGCCGTGAGCCGCAGCAGCACACTGACTGATGCTGACTGCGTTCTACGCCTGAAACGATGGCTCCTCGCGGGCCACTCTGACCAACAGTGGCCGAGCCACAGGCGACGCTCGCACCACGTTGAGCTAGGTGGCAAAGGCTTGCAGGACTTCGCGGATGGCATGACAGAAGCAGAGATGGATGAGTTGGTCGCTTCTTGGAGTTGATCCACAGACAGGCCGCCGGCCGTAGCTGCGTAGCCGCTTTGCTGAGATTCTGGCCATCTGCGTTGCTTTTTGTCTTCCTTTCAGCTACTACAAAAACTGGTAGTCCTTTTGAAGAGACACGTAGCCGGCCGGACATTCCTTTCTGCGTTTCTTTGAAAATGTAAGTGCGTAGTACAAGTTCCTATCCAGTTTGAAGTTTCAGAAGCTTGTAGAATAAAGAAACATCGCAGGCAGAAGTAATAACAATATTACAATACTACAATATTTTGTGCACGCGTTTCCAACAATTGTTCAAAAGTTTTTCTCAAAATATAATATAATATGTTTCGTAGAGAATCTCGGTTGTTGCGCAGAGATTTTACTAAGTTGCTATTGATGCTTACTTAACCTGCGCAGAGAAACCGCAGAGAAACCGTAGAGAAAAATAATCGAATGTTTCCATAACATGTTGTGTACTTTAAATGTTTAAGGAAAAACATCTTGTTCTACCAAAGTTTGTTTTCCACAGGGCTGCATTTGGCCATACAATGGAGTGGCCGCGCACAAAATCTAAGGACCTGCGCTGGTGGTCCACTGGCGATTGCCAGAGCGTAGCTGCTTGTCGCAGGTCCGTGGCGCTCGCGTCAGAAATTGGGACTGCGCTAGCCAGGCTTTGTCTACTTATTCGTGTTGGGCAGGGCTTGGCTAGAGCGGGCGCAGCAGTCTGCAGTTGTGTTGTTGTGCGCTAGTTGGGCAGGTCGCCTGTGCGTGTGCAGCTTGGCTCTGGCCGCAGCATCCTTCGCACCCTTGTTTCGGTGGCAGCCATGGAAGACGACGTAGCATCGGTGGCCCCGTCAAGCACAGCTACGGCTGCTCGCGCAGGTGGGCTCTCCGCGCTTCCGGTATCCTTGTCCCTCAGCAAGGCTTGCGCCTGTTGCTTATGCAACTGCAAGAGCACAGACGAAAGCCCTTTAGCCTCGCACGAGCTAGGGATAGAATTCGATGACCAATTTTGCCAATACGGCGGGGCGCGGCCCTGGAACAAGTATCGCAGGGTGCGAAACCCAGAGACCGATGCCTTCAACAGAGTTCCCGAGGGCAGGCTTTGCATGCTTTGCTTCGGCACTTTCAGGTCGCTCGGCTTGGATTACCAGTATTCCTCATACGGTGCCTACTACAAGCATGTGAGAGAGAACCCCACGGAGCACACAAAGTTCTTGCAATCAGTCAAAGAGTATATCCGCTTGAAAAATGAAAGCCCGGGCACCAGAGTGGACAGGGAAGCGGTGAAGAAGGCTTCAACTACTTTGCACTCCGAAAGCAAGACTGGGATGAAGCTGAAAGGCCCAAAAAAGGAGTTTGTCCTCCTGGAGCATTGGGACACCAAGTTGGACGGAGAATTGGACGAGTCCAAGGTAGTGCAAGAGGTGTGGCAGGGCAAAAAAGTGAAAGGCGTCTGGAAGACGGTGGGCCGGGTCGGCGTGCTGACGGGGGAGCAGCACGAAGACACCAACATGTCTCAACGAACTGAAGAGCACAGCGGCCACGGGCCCTTTGCCGAGGAGGCGCTGGAAACCAAGCGGGAAGTCCTTCAGAAGGTGCCCAATGACGCTGAAGAAGAGAGGCAGAAGCACTCTGTGGCCGCAGGCCCTGCAGCCACTGTCTTGCGTCCTTACTTTCAGCGCTAGTTCGTCAGACATTGGATCGTAATGTTTGGGCATGCCCCGTCAGGAAAGCAGGAGGGTCCTCGAACATGGACGTGTTCATCAACCAAATGGCCGCCCACGGATACGAAGGTCAGCCCGTCCTCACAGACAGCGCTGAGTTTGGCTTGCCAGCGCGCCGCAGGCGTTTGTATGTCTTTTTGGTGCGCGTTGAAGCCAACCCTCTACTTTCATTTCACGACAGAAGCGTGGATTGCATTTTTTCTACGTTCAGCGCCCTCCTATCTGGATGCGTTCGGAGCGGGCCATGTGCTTCTGAAATTCTTCTTGGCGACAATGACCCTGCTGTGGCTTCTGAACTACTTGTGAAGCAAGAGCGGCGCGAAGAGCTGGCTCAAGCAAAGCCGGTTGCTGCTGACTGGCCAGACCAGCACATGAGGATGGCCGCCGCCTTGCGTGTGAAATGGGGGCAGGGGGCGCAGCCCGAGCTTTTGAAGAATCCTTGGCACGCAACCTTGACAGATAGGGAAAAGGACGCTGTCCCGTTGTTGCAGGCCCAGCTTCCTGCCACACTGATGTGAGACTTGTCCCAAAGCATCGCGCGCGCTAACGCTGCTACGTGGAAGGCAGAAGACAACAAGCACTTGGCTCCCACCATGCTGCCCAAAATGAACGTGTGGCTCGAGCCCGCCGGGCATCGCAAGGTCGCGCGCCTGATGCTTGGCCGGGAAGGCTTGTTGTTCCAGGGGTTTCCAGCGCTTCTCTTCTTGGAGATGCTGGACGCTTTCCAAGCTGCATCGAGCGCCGCCGGCATTGTGAGCCACGGTGCGCAGCACTCAGGCAGCAAGAGCGGGCCGAAGAAGTCGAAAAAGCAAAGCGGCGAGAGGACGGACTTCAGGCCAAAAGATCTCTTGCGCACCTGGCGCCCAACAGAAGTCCTGATGCAAGACGTAGCAGGCAATGCTATGTCGCTGCCTGTCGTCATGACGATGTTGCAGTGCGCGTTTGCTTCGGTGAATTGGCGTTCTGGTGCTGTTAGCCGAGCTGCGGACGCACCTGTCTCCACGCAAGAGGACTGGCGAGATGCCATGTGCTCTGTTTTTTGGGTGGCCTTCTTACTTCTTGGGACTTGTGTTTATCCATTTATCTATCTGTATCTCTAAAGCCGCAAAAAAAATGTGATGTGTAATGTGTAATTTGTAATTTGTAAGCGGGTTCAATTGTTTCGGGAGCGCTCGCTCTTGTTATAGCGTAACTGCGAAAGCTCTGCAGGATGTCGCCTCTGCCATGGCCGCACTCCGGGCAGTCGGGCTGTGCGAGGCCGCGGGCCATGGTGCTGAAGATCCCGAGCTTGCAGCCATAGTGCCAGAACCTCCAAGCAGAGGGGTGGCCAATTTGAAGCGCAAACTCAAAGAGCGGAAGTCGCAATGATTTTCCGCGGAGTGTCGGAGGGGGAGAAAAAAGGGATGCGCAAGGGCATGCCGCTGGTGCTTTCACAGGTTGCTTTTGAGGGGCTCCTTCGGGGCGAAACTTTATATTGGAGAACGTTCAACATTGATTTCACCAATTGCAGTGATCGTGCGCAGCTACATTTTTATGTTGAAGTGGCCTTGCTGTGGCTTGAGCCTAGGTTGACGCGCAAATTGGCTTCTTTCAAACCCTTGCCCGGAAATACTGAATATAGTGTCATCGTGCCATGAGGCCACTCTATCATGGGCTTGCCATGGGCTAGTTCCCCAGCGCGTTTGACAATAATTCTACAAATGAAAACAAATCAGGCACAAATATGAATTTGTTGTACAATGAAAACTTGTTTAGAAAGATTCAAAAACAGCTTGTTGCTGTTTTAATACTTTAAAAGAATGTCTGAAAACAACTTTATAGAGAATTCTTACTTTTTCAAAGAAGTTGAAATGTTGCAAAAGAAGTTGCCGAAAAGAAGTTGTGAATTCTGTGGCTTGTTGAACCTGGGTTTAGGCTCCAACCCACAGGCCTTCTAAAAACACCCAAGGTAGGAGGGGTTGTTACTCCGGGGTCAACAGTACGTGGATCTTGGATGGCTCCCACAAACTTTCAGTCCACCCTGGCTACAACTGGGATCGATGTATTTGGGGGTCGGATGTTCAATCTATTTAGCCAGTCACAAATGGCTGTAAGTTATATTTGTGAACCCAAACCTCAGTCCCACTTGTAGCCCTTGTGACATACTTGGCGTATATCCGAGTACACTATAGACAAACAAGCAAGTGCCCCGGACGGATGTTTGGAGAGATCACTGAGCCATCAAAACGCGGTGGCTCAAACTTAAACTACCAGGGACCACCAAGCTTAGTCCTTTTTCCCGTGACCAGGGCAACCCATTTTGGGTACGAATTTTGGACCCACACCCATATGGGGGCTGATCAATATTCCGTTCGGCCCCCAAATGACCATGGGTAACTTTTCCCATTTGGTTGAAGCATCATCTTGGTGTTTTCCCAACCAATGGTCATCCCATGTATTGCGAACCTTTTGACCACCACACCCAACATGAAATCTTAGGTTGTCCCTCTGTTTGTTACAGTATGTACGTTGGGGGAATCGAATCCTTCCAGGGTTGGACCCACACCCCATATGGCTGCGGGTCAAAACCAATGGGACCATTTTGGGGTAGGAGCACCACCCATTTTGGTCTATTTTAGAGGGGATTGGGATGTTCACTCGGGGTACGATTTGGATTTTGACCCATGGCCCTCTGGTCTTGATCATCTTCTGGGATCATCTCTACTCGCGTCGCGCGTCGCGAGTCGCGAGCGAGCCGACAGGTGTTGCAGCGGCAGAAGGTGCAGCAGAAGCAGCGGCAGAAGCTGACGAAGCGGCTGCAGAGGGCTGGGGACCCCCAGGACCCCCATGCTGGCGCCAGGCTTGAGGAGCAAAAACACACACACAGACCATCCGGATCCATCCGGCCATTTTTGGTTCAAATGGCCGATTGGGTCCCAGAGTTGACCTCTTGAAGAAACGAAAGCTGACAGAACAAATGGACAAGTCTGGGAGCATTCTGGAGAATATCTACCCTTGCTAGCAGTTCAAAACTTTAAGCATCAGGAACAGCCGGAGGGTATGGCTGGGTCATGGTCCTCGAGAAATAGGGGCTTCATTCTCATTGTTGTTGTTTTTTGAGGATCCTTACTCATGTTGACCCCATATGAATCGACCAGCCAGTTTATTCACAGGGGGGGTGGGGGAAACCCCTCCAAACGTGGTTTGATTCCCCACTGAACGCAGTTGGACACCCCCTCATTAATGTACTGAGGTTGAGTAGTATGGGGTCAACATTGTCCCCAACAGCCCCGACACTTCGAACCACTCCTTGTCGCCTTGGGCGCAAATTGCCACGTCGTAGCGCGTTTTGCTCCACATCTACTGTGGAGCGTTTTGGTGGGCTTCGGGCACAAATCAGCTCGCGACAGAGAAGTTTATGTTCTTTCAAAGAAGAGCGCAAACGATCAGAAATCCCAAGCTATTAGTATTCGTATTGGTGTTTGTATTCTTGCTAACTATATGTACATATAATTACACATATGTGCTTGAGTATCAAATATACTCATTGCACCAAAAACCCTTACCAAGAAGCTCGAAGGATATTTTCCCCAACCATGCTCCAGACTCTTAGGACCTAGAACCGCTTGTATCTTTGACTCTGGAATTCAAGTAACGTGTCTCGGCTTTTAGGAGGCACTTTTGACAAGGGTTGGGTTGTCTCTTCTTGAATTGCAATGGATTTGATAGGGGCACCACCTTAAAAGTGATTGGCGGACATGAATTCCCAGCTAAATCATGTCCACCAAAGGGTCGCCAATGAAAGCGCACGTGCAAAGGGTGGCGCCATTGGGGATGCTGGTCTTGGAGACTTGAGATAAAAGGGAAACGTGGCAGTTCGCACTATTTTATGTTCTGTGTTTTCACCTGCGAGAGGTTGTATTGTGGAATGACCCCGGGAGTTACAAATTGGGGATCGCACTTGGGCGTAATTATGACTTAAAGGTTGGGGTCAAAGACACATTCATGAATATGGACCAACATTTTCTTGGTTCCCCTAAAACAAACACTTAAACTTGGACGTGTTTGTTTTTCCCTTATTTTTCCGTTGGTTTCAACCTGTGGGTTCCCTTCCAACCTCCCTCCAGGTGCCGAATCCCTTGGCGCTCCAAAACCGAAGCTCGACGCTCCGAAGCTCTGAGGCCGAAGCGACGGAGGAGCACCTCAAAGAGGAGCGGAAGAACTTGGAGCACATGGAGGCGCAAGCCGCGATGGGCAGTGCTTCCGGCGCCTGTTTTTTTTCTCCAGGGATTCGAGGGTACCCTTTTTTGGTTGGTACAGATCTTTGTGTCTTTTTGAGGCGACCCTTGGAAGGTACCATCTTTTCTAGGTCCCCCAGCTAGGTGCCCTTTCTCACCGTAACTTTTTTGGTTGGGAGGGTACTAAAATAGACCACAGAAAAAAAGTTGGTACCCTTATTCTAACCTCTCTACTGGAGGATCTAGGATTCAAATTCCCAAGCCGCCTGGTGGTTTGGAGTCGTTAGCCCTCAAGAACTGGGGACCTGTTCAAATCCAAATCCAAGAGCCACTCCAAACCTCCCTTGCGGTGGACAACTCCCACTTTAGCAAAAAACCCAGATGCCCCGTGGCTAGAGAGAGAGAGAAAGAGAGAGAGAGAGAGAGAGCCATGTTCAGAGCGGAATCCGGGCAACCCCCTCACCCCCCACCCCCCAAAAAGACCATCCGGGAGAACCGGACCGCGCTTCCCTTGCTTGTTTTTCTTGCAGAAAAGCAATTCTCTTGGTGGGAAGGTGGCAATTCACTTTTACTTGATTGGTGGAGAAGAACCTCTTGGTGGGAAGGTGGCAATTCTCACTTTTTCGGGTGTGGTTCCTGGCTTCACAAGAACTACGGCGTAGTTTGATTCACGGCTTTCCGCCGTCATCGCTCACCTTCTGGAGCTCAGGCCACATTTTTCGTGCGCACGGACATTTCGCAGCTACACCTTGGATTGATTTTCGATTCCCTTGGTAAATGCCAAGCCAATGGCTTTCAAAGTGGGGCGAACGGATTTCGCCCATCCACAGTATGTCCAGACCTTTGCACAAAGGCTCTGTGGCGTCACAACTTCACAGTTTGAAAGCAACGCGCCCGTACCCCTGGCCGTGGAACTCTCCATGCGTGGGAAAGGATTCATGGGATTGGTGCCCACTTCTGTGAAGCCAAAAAGCCTCCCCGTTTGAAGGGCCTTGGAGGAAATCCACAAACCGCACCAGTTGGGATTGGTGGACAATCCGGTCATCCATGGGTTTCGTCCATCCCTTCATATCACAGAAGTCAGGGGGTTTCAACGGCAAGCCCCACAATCCTTTGGGATAAGGGGCTTATCCCCTTTGCAGTCCGATGGTTTTCATCGGATTGGCCAACTCTCCGTACGTTTCTCGCAGACATAATTTCCCACCCTTCCAGGGGTTGATTCAAGTTGATTCCCCTTTCTTTTCAATCATCGTTCTTTTCAACAACCAGCTGTTCCCCCCGGGTTGTGGATGGTTTCCTGAAAAGAAGGTCCCTGCAAAGAATGGAAACGGAAGCTTCATTTTGGGGTGCTTCCCTTCTTAGGGTGCCATTTTGGGGGTTGGTTCTAACGGGAACCCATGCCGTGGATGGATGATAAGTCCTGCAAGCAGTTGGTAGGTGGCTTTCCCCGTTGTGGAAAAGGGGTTTCATCTATCCCAAGTGGTGCAGGATTTCGTCCAGCCGCAGACAAGATCCACCCGTCAACACCGAAACCCGTGAGGCGGGGCTGGGCCCCTTTCCTCATCCCTTCCAATCTAGGGTTGACCATTGAGCTATAAATTTACTCGGCAGCTGTTTGGTTTCGGGTGTTACTTCAAAACATTCACCCAACACACAAACACGCAAGTTTGAGCCACCACCTTCAGGTAAACTCTTCAACCTTCCCCACGGTTTTGTTGTTTGAAACACCACCGAATAGAACAAAACACAACCTTCAGGCGACCTTCCCCCCCCCCCCTGTTTTTTTCTTCTTAAACACCACTGAAAACCGAATGGAAACACCACCACCCTCCAACCGCGTCTTTTTCATTCGGTTCAGGTGGCGGAGCCCGGCGAACCGGACGCCCAGGAGGCCGAGCTCCTGCGCCAGAAGACCGCGGCGCGGAGAGCTGCAGTTGGCGAGGCCCAGGAGCAGCTGGAGGCGCGAGCCACGCGAATCCGCGCGCCAGCGAGCGAGGGGGAACGTTTTTCCCCCCCCCCCCCCCTGGGAACTTTTTTTTGTGTGTGTGTGTGTTGTTTCTTTCTTTTCTTTGTTTCCGTTGTTTTTTCATTCGTATTTTCGGGGAACCCGGTTTTCTTCTTTTTTTGGTTTTTCCTTTGGCGCGGTACCATACACGTGTCCACATTTTGGGTGTCTTTTTTTGGAGGTGACTCTTTTTTTGGTTTGGCGCTTGGATGAGAACCTATGGGCGGCTTGTCTTTTTTGAGGGGACCCTCTAAATTGGTGATGTTCCTTTTGGCTTCCCTCTCAAACCAACCACAAAAAGGACACCATATATTGGGATTGATCACTCTTGGCCAAATGGCCATGGGAAGAATTGCACATGTGGGAAAGTCGTATCTGTTTGGTGATTTGAAACCTAATCATTCCCTAGGTCCCCCAGCTAGGTGGCCTTTTTAACCCAACTTTCTTGGTTGGGAGGGTTTCCCTACTAAAATTCATGGAATGTTTAGCTACCCCCTAGCCAACTACCCCCCCCCCCCCCCCGGAAGTTAATTTGACTGAGCTAAAACAAGCCAAACTCGGACCTTGCCAAGCAGACGCTTTCCATCGTTCAAGCGGCCCAACGCCACTCCCTGGGACCCCACACGGTAGCAGAATGCAAATACTTGGGATTGCGCTGGCGTGTGGTGAGAGCATTTTCTGCACAGCTCACTACTCACCACTGATTGACGCTCACTTTCCCCCACAAAAAATACAAACTATGTCAAAGGAAGGGCCAAACCCTGCCTAAAGTCAAACAGAAAGCAAACCATAAGGCCACCTGATTTCAACATTTGCAATCGAGCCAACATAAGGCTCAAATAAGAGAATTGAAATAAGTCCAAAGTAAGGCCAAAATAAGGCCAAAATAAGGTCCAAATAAGGCCCAAATAAGGCCGAAATAAGGGCAACTCCCAGCAGCATTTGAAGATTTTTGAAATAAGGCCAAAATAAGCCCCAAATAAGGTCCAAATAAGGCCCAAATAAGGCCCAAATAAGGCCGAAATGGGCAACCCCCGACAGCATTTGAAGATTTCTCAGGCAGGCCAACAGAAGGACAAAAATCTTGTTGCAACGCGAAAGGCTCCGTTAGACAATTTCCTCCTGTTGTTTTTGTTTGTGAGAGCTTGATTCGATTGAAGTCAGCTGGAGCGGGTGCTGCACATGTCGTGACTGAGTTTGTGTGTTTCTGAAACTATGTCTTGTTTGGCACCCAGACGAGTCCGGAACCCATCATCCCGTGACATTCAGACCTCAGCGGACCTCAGCCCAAAATACGACCAAACTAGTGGTGACGAAAAAGGTTGAAGCACTAGCCCCTATTTTGCCCTTATTCTGCTAACATAAAATTAATGGCTTATTAAGACCCTAATAAGGCCTTAATAAGGGGCTATCCCTAATTCCAGGAGGGGGGGGGGTAGTCAGCTAGGGGGTGGTGGTTTAACATTCCATGAAAAATAGACTAGAGAAAAAAAGTTGGTACCCTTATTCTAACCTCTCTACTGGAGGACCTAGAAACGGTTTTCGGCTTTTGGGCGTTTCGAATGACCCCCTGCCAATTAGTTTTGCTGGAAAATCAATATGGAATGACCCCCCTCCCCAGGTTGTCTTGCTGAGAATTTGAAGATTTTGGCCTTCTCACTGGGCTGTTAAACATAATTGGGCTCAGGTGATATCCCCAACAGCACCGCACCCGCCTGGCGGAGTTCTCCTGGGAGCGTTTGCGTCCCCGAAACGTTTGCAGAACTTCGGTTTTTGGGTTTTTTGGGGGCTTGGAAGGACCCCCTCCCCAATTTGTTTTGCTGAGAATTTAAAAGGATGATTGCATTGAGATCGCAAAACGTGCCAAAATTGAAATCAGAAAAAAACAGCCACTCGCAGCCACGGCGAGTGGGCGTGGCTGCGAGTGGCTGCGAGTGGCTGCGAGGGGCTGCGAGTGGCTGCGAGTGGTTGCGAGTGGCTGCGAGATCCGGCTAATCCAGAACCCCTCTTACGAAGCCATTGGAAGGGCGCGCCCTTGCGTAACCCAAGGTAAGGATTAAGGATTTCCTTTGAACAGCCCAGTCTCAGAATGACCCCCAATTGTTTGCTGAATTGAGCATTTATTCCCCAACAGCTGAAAGCTTTGGGGTCTCAGCCCAGATAGGCTCCGGGCTGGTCCGGGGCGGCCCTGAGGTAAGGTTCCACGAGGCTTCCACCAGGGTTCCACCAGGGTTTCACGAGGGTCCACGAGGTTTTGCGAGGGCTGCGGGGCGGTGCCAGCACGAAAAAGAGCACCGCATGCTGTTGAGGATATCACCTGAGCTTATAAGTTTTTCTCTGATTCCAAAGGGAATCGATTTCACTACTGTGCCAAATGGAATCTGCCATTTTGAGAACCCCCCCCCACCGGAAAAAACGAGCGAAGGAGCATGTCCCTTTGAATTTCCAAAAAGAGTTGCACACCCATGGTTTGCCCTGCAAAACTTGCTGCTTCTCGAATGACCGAGTCCGGGTCTTGGGAACTGCATTCCCCAGGAGCTGCGGAAGGAGCTGCAGGCGTGGCAGGCAAAGCTGGAGCCGGTGCGCCGGGAGCTGCAGATGAAGGACCCGCTGAGAGCCGAGTGTCCACCACCTGAAAAATTTTTTGGAACCATGATTCCCACGGCGAAAGCGGGGTAGATAGTCGATAGTCCTATGGTGTGGATGGACGAAATCCTGCACCCATATGCTATCCTTTGATCATACTCCACCCTGTTCCTACTCGCGCTCGTTTGTTCTCTTTGCGGGCACCTGCACACTCAAAATCTCAAAATCAAACCTCCCTCAAAACTGGGGAGATCGCCCTAAATTCATATGGCTTGGCGACTTCCCTTGTTTATTTTAATGGAAAGTTTGAGGGCCCATGTTGTTGTTGTTTCTTTTGTTATGGCCATGGCTTCTGGGTCCAGGCACATTTTGTGGCCATGGCCTGTGGGTCTCGGGGTTTGGTGTACATGGCTGTGGGTCAAAACCGTTTTGGATCTCATTTTGGTTGGTAGGTGAATTCACCACCCATTTTAGAGCCTATTTTAGGATTGGGATGTTCACTGGGGGTACGATTTGGCTTTGGATTTTGACTCCATGGACATACTGTGGATGGTTGCGAAATCCATGCACCACTTAGAAACCATGGTTGAAATCATTGTTTGTTGGTATTTACAGGGAAATCATGGTTCCAGGGTTTCTTAGATGGAGCAAAATTTGTCGTCCATGCACAGTAGCTCAATGCAAGGACCTGTCGGACAACAGGCATATGGCCATACGTTTTGGGGATGGTTCCAGGGTTTAGGTGGATAAGGATGTGAACCATGGTCACATATAGCTGGGGAATAGGCCAGTTACTGAATACTTTTTACTCCCTGACGCATTTCTGCATATTGATCACCTAAAATGTTAATAGTCTTGAACCGTTTAAAGCTAAGATTTAGTATTGACACAGCCTCAACTCCCTTTGTTTGGGGCCGATTGGGTCGTGGTTCCCTCAGTCATTGCAATGGTTCAGGATCCTTACCAGGTGGATATATGCCTATCTCCCAAAGTAACATTAGGAAGTTACAACGGTTTTTTTAGGATCCGTGTCAGGCGGATCAGCATCCCGGAAAAACCCCAAAGTGCCAAAGAAAGACAACCACCAGGAGAGGAAACAATGAATTTTGGGAGACGCTTTGGTGGACATCAGGGTTTGGTGAGGATTTGTGTCCAACCATTTGGTATGGTTTGCCCCACTAAAGTGCATATCCATGTGGCTGTGTGTTTTTGTTGGGCTCAGTATCCGTTTTGGGCTTTGTTTAGGCGACCTTTGCAGAAGCACCCCTTGCCACTCCCAGCCACAGTGTGGTGCGAGCGGGACCCCTGTCAAGTCGATCAAGACATGGTGAGCCTTTTCTTTCCTTACGCCGCGGGTCTGAGTGTTTGATATGTCTTGGGACATGATTTTCGCGACCCGCCCACAGTCAAACAGATGCTGCCTACGGAGCAATGGGCATCACGAGGGGTTTCAGCTCAGGTGAACTTTGGTGGACATCATTTAGCTTGGCGGTTCCCAGCCGTCCGGTTCCTTACCTTTTTGGGTGTCTAGGGTTTAGTTGTAGTTCCATTTAACCCATAAAAAGTTAAACCTTTAGCAGGGGATCTGAGGACAGCTCAGTTAGGGTGGGGATTGATGTCCATCCATTTGGCAATGCTGTTCACAAAAAGTTACCTGGTCAGGTACTTATACACCGCAAGGAGCCACACTCATGAACAAAAGACATGGGTGCGTTTGGTTGAAAGCTTGCCGTTAAACACCCGACGGGTTTCTTGGTACCTCACGAACAAGACCCATAGTTTCTGCAGGGGGAAGTCTTCAGCCTGCTCCAATACCCTGAAGGTGAGAAGCGGTCAAAGGCTCAAACGCCCAGAAGAGGGTTCCCAGGTTGCCCATCGGCGGTTTGAACTGGGGGTTTGAACCCCAGTATCTTCTCAAACCAAGAAGCTACCGTCCACCACACTTTCGGGAGGTGATGCTTTGAGTCAGTCCCTGGAGAAATGGAGGCCAGAACCACAACTTGCTCGTTCGATAGGCAACTGAGTTGGAATGACACCAAGAAAACGCATCCCCGCGATGGTTTCCGGTTCATTCCCAACACCCGGAAGGTCTTTCATTCCCTACCTATCGCACCAGCAAGCCAATTCCTACATGAGATCCTTCGTTCTCGCGGGAGGCTGGTTGCAAGTGTCTCGGAAACCAAAACAGCCGGCCAAAATGAACAGAGCCGACTCTTGCCGGGTTTTGTGGTTGTCGAGAAATCCAAATTAACCGCACGGGAACCGTACTCCCGGCTGTTTTTACGGTCAAATATTCGAAAGGTCCAGCAACTGGCATCTTCCGACCGCCGCACGGGTCCGAAAATGACCGGGGGGTCTACGCGGTTGGGGAATGGATAGTCAAGAGCCCCAGAATCCTCCCCGTGGGGGGGATAGACCTAGCGGTCACTGAACGCCCAAACCTCTTACGGCACAAGCCATCGGCTTCAAGGCCAAGTCTCAGTGAGAACCCATGAAAATCCCTAGCAAACCTAGGGGCCGCGCTTAAGATGGTTTTTGCTTCACTGTTTGGGAATCACAGGATCCTATAAATCCTCAAGGTCCCTGAATCAATCCCTTTGCTTTAGGCTTTGTTGCATTAATGGCTGTCATGGGAATCAACTTCTGATCACAGATAGGGATATTCACAACCATGTGCCTTGATATTGTGAGCATGCATTTGTAGTGAGACATAGCTTGAACAGACTGGATCATCCAACGAAAGAGAGACTAACCCGAATTGGCCAATTTTCATAACTCCGTGGTAGCGACGACCTTCCCTCAGTCCTCTGGTATGGACAACATCCACATGGTTGTTTCCCGTTTAACAAAAACAATGGGGTACCAGCTCACAAAAAGACGAGCCACCCACCACGCACATGTCTCAGGAGGTTTTTTTTGGAGTGTACCAATTTTGGGGTTGGTTTAAATAGAAACTACGAGAAAGCGTCACTCTTTTTTTGGGGCGTGCAAATTCCTACTGTGAATGGACGGAACTCTCACCACTTTGAAGCCATAGTTGCAACAATTTGTTTTGTGGTATTTACAGGGGAAGCATCACAAACTAGGGTTTCTGAACGGTGGTGCGAAATGGAATTTGCAACCATCTACAGTATTTGAATGTGTTTTGAGGGTTCCAATTTCGGCTTTAAAGGGACATCACGAGAAGTTCAGCCACTCATTTCGGGGCCCGTTTTTTTTCTCCCTTTTTTTAAGCACTCCTAGAAGTCCTCCTTGCGATTTCCGGTCCATCTACTTGATCTCGCAGGAGGCAGACTTGGACGAGCGGCGGATCTTCATGGAGCGCAGCAAGGAGGAGCTGAACCTGCGCGAGCAGCGCGCGGGTCCCAAGATGTCCACGGGCCAAGCGAGCCGCGAGCCGCGGGCCGCGAGAGACGGGTCTTGGGTGGAGGTCGCTTCTTGGAGTTGCCGAGCCATTTTTCTTTGGTGCATGTTGCTTGGATGTTAGCAACTAACGGGTTTTCCATTAAACCACGAAAAGTTACACTGTTGGCAGGGGAGCAGAAAGCAACCGAGTTTTGGTGGCTTTAGGGGGAAAACAAAAGGAACACCGAAGCCATGTAGAACGGGAAACACCCATATACACATGTTGCTGGTTCCCAGGAAATGAGGGGCTTTGAACTAAGGGGGTTGATCAAAAGGTCATTTGCACGGGATGATAACGGAAGCCGCCAAGCAAGACGACAGTTTGCTAAATGGGAGCACGTTTGGACAATGCACCTCCTGAACATCAAACAATGGTGGCTACATTCGCCCCCTTTTCATGGTGGTTTGAGCCCTCAAACCAGGGGGATGTTTGTTTTCGGGCCCATTCTGTCCGTGCGAAAAGCAAACAAGACACAGCACCGCCAGCGCCCGAAGCCACTCTTGCCATTTCATGTTCTACGTGAAGAGTGTGTCCCTTAAAATTCTAGGGGTACTTTCCCCATTCTTTCCAGAGATCATTCTTTCTAGAAAATCTTCGCAAACCCAGGACAAAAACGGCATGTGTTTGGAAAGACCAATGGTTGAAAAGAATGGGGAATCAACCCCTAGACAAATGCTTACGTCTCCAATTGGAGGAACCCCCGCAAGATGGGTGGTTTGCTTGTGGGTTTCCCTTCAACCCCAACAGGGCACCGACTCAACAAAAGGCAACCAAAAGGGTTCCATTTTGGTTCCTGATGGCCACCGGAGCAGGGCTGGTGTGTTTGGGTTCCCTGTACCAAAATGGGTGTGTTTTTTTGTGGGGGACCCCCCCAAAACGCTTTAGGCTACTTCAAGCAACCACATCCCATCCCAAGCGCAAAGCTGACTATCATGTAGGACTACCTGAATACCACCTATCGCTGAATATCACTACTAAGTAGATTGAACAAGTAGGTCCCAGTTCAAATCAATTTTCCGTTTAGAACAGCACTCCAAAACCCGTCGCCAACTCTCAAAACAACCACGCTTCATCCAACTTGGCCGGCGTTTGGTTGTAAGCGAGGCTTGTTTTTGCAAAAAGGCGACGAGTTTTTCCCTACGCTCCAACCCCTACATGGATGTTCTGCCAAGTCAGGACGTTGGGTAATGCTGACCCCGGATTCATAATCCCTTGTTTATTAATAAGGGGGTGTCCCTGGTTTTAGTGGGGATTTATCACTTTTGGAGGGGAACACCCCCATATTAATAAACAGGGGTTTATTAATCCGGGGTCAAGATAAGCCTAGGTTACAACCCAGTTACAAGCCCTTTGGGTGGGGCTAATTGTGGTATTCACGTACCAACCCGGCGAATCGAAGATCCAAGTACCTGTATAATAGGTACCCAAATGCTTGCAACCCTTGAAAAGCCAAAAGGACAATTGCGAAGGGTTTTCCTGCTAAAAGGGCGGGATCCACTGGCCACCAACCCCCACCAACCCCTGCCAACCCCTAAGCCCTAACCCCCAATTCAGCTTTTTCGCCCCAGGCCACCTCGAGCAGCGGGCTATGCGGGAGGCGGAGCTGGAGAAGGTGGCTGCGGCCAAGCTGCAGACCGCATCCCTCGAGAAGCAGCTGGACCGCTTCAGGGGGAGTTCCGGGGCCCGTTTCTTTTTGGTTCTCTTCGTTTTTTTTGCGTAGGCAGAAAACAGTCAGCTTTTTGTTGCCACCGTACCAAGAATTGGACAGTTTTTGAAAGCGCTGGACCCTCAAATGACCCTCATAGGGCATTGCCATCAATTTTTGGGGGCGATGTCCCATTTTGAAGTCTAGTTTGAGGGTCCGGGTTTGTTTTTTTCGTTGGTTTCCCTAGACCAACCTGAAAAGTGTTGGATTCCATTTAAACCAACCTGAAGAGGGTTGGTTTCCTTCAACAACCTGAAAAGGGTAGCCTCAGAACAAAATTCACAGGGTTGAAAGAATTATAGAGCCATAGTAGGAGAATGTTCCGGAATGGCAAGCCATATGGACTTGAATATCAAATAGGCATCGTGCATTCTCCGTCCGTGGGACGGGTTCCATGTTGTTTTCACGGGCAAATTGGTCAGGCTCACATGAAACCCAACGCTGTGGATCCCAGTTACCCTTATAGTAGGTAACCAGCTATTTTCCTTTTGGTTTTTCACAGGTAAATGGATCCACTGGGTAAAACTTGAGTGATTCCGATTTGGTTCGCCTGGTTTCATTTGTGCTTTTCTCAGGACTCGGGCGATCCAACATGGTGTGGGGGTTCCCTCACGGTTTCCCTCTACAGGATTTGTTTCTAGGTCCCAACCGTTTAGGCACAGCGCTTACAGCGATTTCCCAGGTCAACGGGTGAGGGGGTCTGCTTCTGTCTCACCCGGGTTTGGTTGAATGGTTCGTCATTGGTTCATAATTTGTTGGGTCTATTTTGTTTGGTTGCCCCTTCGAGCCGCAACTCAAAAAAAAATAAAAAAATACACCTCTCATGTCGCGACATTGTTTGGATTTGTATTTTGTTTTGCCACCAATTTGTTCAGGTTGGCATTGTGTCTACTTGAGACCTGCAGCATGCTCATTGGGCAAGAGGTTTCTTGTCGCTCAGGTTCTGAGGACTTCAGTGTCTCTTCCATTTGCTTACGTTGTTTTTAGTTTCCCTTGTTGGTTTTAACGGGAATCCATGACTACTAAAAAGAGGCGTGTTTTTTTTTCCATGGAGCAAATGGAAGCTGTAGCAAAAAGTTGGCCAACTTTCATCCGGAGGATCGTCACCGAGTTCCTAAAATAGATCTATAATTTCCGAAAATAACGGGGCCACCCCTTTTTTGTATCGGGATGAATCCGAATTTGCCACGAAAGGGGAACCAGGCGAGTTCGTGTTGGGTTGGGAAATAACAACCAAAGCACATGGCCAGACCCAAGGCTGGCCTTTTTGCAACTATTTGCTTTGAGTTTCCATGATTTTTTTTACCTTACCAGCCAAAGGTTTGACTTGCAGGAGTCTAAGTCTGGTCAAGCCCATCCCAGTGAATCCCAGCGGATCCTCTAGCCCTTATAGTACGTAGGTAACATGTACCTCTTCGCTATATTCCATTGGTTTTTAAGTGGTGGTTCCAAGGGTTACCACTGGGCATTGTTGGGTTCCGTTCGACTGTTCGAATCACAACTTTGATGCAAGAGTGGTGTCCTTCTTGATCGGTTGGGGGCCTCTGTTCAATGCAGCCTTCACTTTAGGGTTGATGGCAGGATATCCACTAAACAAGCAACTGGGGGTTCGTCGGTAAGCCTTTTGGCCCCAATCCAGTCAGACCTCCCTATTCTGTTCAGCGAATGGGCGGCTTGCGAGTTCACGGGATATTCCAATTTCTTAAATGGGCGGCTCGTCTTTCGAGTTGGTCTGCCCAGTTTTGAGACTGTTTTCCCATGGGGAACACCGTTTGGCCATTTCGGGTCCCCCGGAAAAAGGACACCCAACTCAAACCGGCGGCTTTTGTAGCCACGGCCCTTCGGACCAGTTTTTCCTCGTCGTCCGACGACTTCAGGAGGAGCTTTGGGATGAGATCCATCAACGGCGGCAGATCCTGCAGGACCGAAGCCGGAAGGGCCCGGACTTTGTGAAGGGAACTTCCCCAGATTTCTAGGGGTTGAGTCCTGGTCCATTCTTTTTCAACCATCGGTCTTTTTCAAAAAACAAAACAGAGGTTTTCCCTGGGTTTCTTGAGGTTTTCTAGAAAGAAGGATCCCTGGAAAGAATGGGGAAGGTACCCCTAGAAGATTTCGTCTTTCAACTGTATGGAAGGGAGTCAGCAAACTTGAACGGATGTGAGTTGCTCTTGCAACCTGTTTGACCCCTAGTTCTGGATGTCGTGTTCATAGGTGTTCCTTTAGGTTGGCTTGGTTAGAAATAGATGGGTTCCACTAGTTTAGATTGGCTTTATGCCCCATTTACCAGATTTACCAAGGCCATCTATTTTTCCAAAAGGTCACCTAAGGTTGTGTTCTTTTCGGGTAGCACACAGTTCCTTGCCAGTGCTTTGGGGATTTGGGGATGGCTGGCAACGGGCCATTTGGGTGCGTATTGAAAACGACCCCCCCCCCCCAAGCAAACAAAAGTACCCATCAAAGAAGACGAGCGCCCCATTTCACCCCTTGTTGAAACATGTGTCCATATGACGAGAGTTTCCACTCCGGAGCATTTCATGAACATTTTGACACCCCTTTCCGGGTCTCCTCCAACATCATGTTGTATTTCAAGTGTGGCCACAGATGCAGCAAGAAGAGAGAGGTCTTCATGCAGTCCGCAATCCCTTGACCGATCCCCAGAAGGTCCATCTGGTTCGGTTCCTACCTTGTTTATCAAGGGTAAGGCCGAAAAGGGTCTGTCTTCAGGGGTACCCCTTTGGTGTGTGGCTTTTAAGGAGCACAAAGGACACTTACCATTTTGGGGGTCCCCCAATAAGGCACATCCGTATAAACCTTTATTGCTCCGGTCCAAAGGCTCACTTGAGACAGGGACCAATTGCTGCTGGGTGGAATTGGAATGCAAGGAAGCTTGGAGCTTCATACGTCAGGCGGTTTCTTGGGGAAAAAAGCGCCAATCAACCCCTATAGTTATAACCAAGGTGGTAAGTGGTTTGAAGATCGAGGAGAATCCCAGGTGTGCGCAGAGCTCGGGTGTGGGGCCTGCAGCTTGTCCCCAAGCGAGTCTGGACAATCAGTTGTGGCGACGCGAGTTTGGTGTTGCGGGTATTGTGGTTTCTTTACTTCATACAGTGGGTCAAAACCAATGGTACCATTTTGGGGTAGGTGCGCCGGGGTTGGGAAGTTCACTGGGGGTACGTGCTTTGATGGTGCGATAGGGAATGACCCGAATGACCTTCCGGGTGTTGGGAATGAACCTGAAGGGGATTCCCTTAAAGGAAGCCACAAGGGAGTGTTTATAGGGGTCATCCTTCATTTCCTGCGATCGTTGGTTGCAACCCTTTACCTTGCCGCAGGCTAGCTGCTTTTTTTTGCCGCATTGCCCCGCTGCTCTTCTCCCAACCGACTGACCGCCCGCGCAATGGACTTCGCTGGTGCCACTGGTGCCGAATTGCCCTCAGAGGCAGAGTTTGAGCACTTCATTGAACACTGGTGCACGCACATGGAGGTGCTCATAGTGCAGATTGCGCTTGACTTGGAAATGATCAACGAGAGAACGACGAGGGTTGTCATGCTAATTATCCTGAAAAGGGACTACGCGCAGTTTGGCCAGCGCTTGTGTGATCTCATCCGCGGTGCGGTGGCGGTGAGCGGCCTCGGCGGCAGCGGCGCCTTATGAGATCAAGTAGATCCAGGTCAAGATCGCGCTCCTAGATATGTCTATATATATATATACACATGTATGCATACACAGATACCCATATATAGTCACATGCTCCACCATGATATTCGCCGTGTTTTCTGAGCTTTGCAGCGCTAAAACTACATCCCAGGGAGCACCCCTTCTGGAAAAGAAGATCCCTTGGCTTAGGGAGTCGATGACTCACAGCGGCAAAAATGAATCAGGACCTCCTGGCGCAGCGCCGGGACGCCGAGGACGCCGCGGGGGAGCTGAGGCCCGGGTCTTCAGGGGGGGGGGGTGGGCGGGGGTCTGGGGTCGGGTTCCGGAAGGAGTCTCGGGGACGCACATTTCAGGTTGGTTTGTGTAGCCTTTTCAGGTTGGTCTAGGGAAACCAACGAAAAAAAGCAGACCTGGACCACGGTTTGGATGCGGTTTGGATGCGGTTTTTGTGGATCCACCCCTGTAGGACATGAAAAGAGTACTAAAAAAGGGCAAAAAAGACTTTACAGGGGAAAGAACAGCTGAAATCAACAAAAAGGCACATCCAAACCGTTTTCTAGGAAAGGTTCCGGAAGGAACTCGGTACACTTTTCACGAGCTCCTGGACTTTCAGCAAGAAGGCAACTTTTTGGGTTTGGACTATCTTAGTGGCAAACAAGAAGTGTGGACTCTTGTTTTGGCCAATCTTAGACACATTTGCTTGGGTCAGATTTGGGCATGTCCTTTTTTTCAGAATCGGACCGGGGCCCCAAAATGGTGGTTGTGTGTGTGTGGTTTTCCGTTAAAACTGCTTCACCAGGGGTACCTTCCCTCCCACTAACATAGCAAAACGATCCCGCGATCTGAAAAAAGTTGCCCTCCCCCCCACGACTCTTGGTGGCTTCCGGATTCTTATCCGGTTCCTTGACTTTTTAGATCTTCTTGGTTGGTTTAGTGGTTGGGCTTCCATTCAACCCGCAAGTTTTGAACTTTTAGCAGGGGTCTGAGGACAGCCCAGAAACATAGCACGTGTGAGAGAGTACCTGGAAGAAGAGTTTCCTTTTGCAGGGACCCCCTGTCAGGTGCCATGTTAGTGGGAGTGAGGGTAGGGCCAGGCTACGTATGAGACAGAATCTGATACGTTTTCTGTAGCGAGCTTTCGTTTTAGGGTAGACTACATACTGTTGGACGAGATTCATGTTTCACCAGTTGGATGAAACCCTATACGAAGACCCGGGTACACCACCAATCCAGGATTTGGCCCATCCGTAGCTTGGCTGCCTTTTGGATTCCCAAAACCACCCCAACAAAGAAAGACTCCGATCCAATCTGGTCAAACTACAGCGAGCTCGCCTGGGGGAAAACAAGCTCATGATGAAGGCGATTCACCTCGGAGCTTCCCTTGTTTCCGGTTTGGGAATAGTCATTTGCCCCCCCGGACCCTCGAACTACCCTAAAACATGTGGGGTGGGTTGTGCCAGCCAAATTTATGGGGTGGTTTCCCTTGTTGTTAAGGACCAAGTTAGTGGTTGGCCACTTGGGATATACCTCCCTAAGAAGGTTAACCTCACTGAGGGGACTTTCAAGTATACCAACAACCTACGAACTCGAAGGCTCTGCAGCTCCCATTGGGTGGCTTGGCCTTCTTTTGGGGGACCCCCTTTTGGTTGGTTTTTGGGGAGGGAAACCACAAGGAGTCCCCATGATTGTGGGCGGTACCCCAAACCACTTCCTGGTGTAGGTTGGGAATGACGAGACCTTCCGGCTGTTGGGAATGGACCGGAAGGGGATTCCCTTGAAGGAAATAACAATGGAGGGTGTCTGGGGGCCATTCCCTCATTCTCTGCCTATCGAACCAACAAGTTGTGGTTATGGTTTCCATCTGCCCAGAATCTGGGCACTGAAAGCATCACCCTGCCCCTTGGTTGTTTGGTTTGGGATGGATAGCTTCCCATTAAAAGACACTGGGGTTCAGGTACAAAAAAGGTCCTTGGTTAACGGCAAGCTCTCAATCAAAGACACCCATGCGGGTGTGTCACTTAGGGAAGCCCAATGGTTTTCAGGGTTGTGGGATCCAGGGGTTATCGGGGGGGGGTGGGGGGGGGGGGGTAGGTCTTTGGGAAGCCCTTGTTGTTGTATCACAGATTCGTGGATTCCATTTCAAGCACAGGCGATGGGGTTTTCCTTTTTCTAGGGGTTGATTCCAACCATTCTTTCAAAAGCCGGCTCCGTTTTGCCAGGTTTCTGTTTGTGGTTGTCTAGAAAGATCCGGATCCCTGGAAAGACTGTTTCTTGTTTTCCCCTGTTGGTTTTAAAGGGAATATATCACTGCTCAAAATATTGGTATGTTTTCCAGAGGTCTTAACCAAATGGAAGAGCCGGAAGCTACCAATCGACTTTTGGCTTGCCAGCGAAGCCAACTCTCGCCCCGCCCCGCCGCTCGGAGGCGCTCGGAGGTGGAGGATCTGCGGAGCGCTGAGCTGGCGGAAAGGGCCTGGCGGGAGCGCCCCTCGGCTTCGCGAGGATTCGGTCGAGAGCCGAGAGGAGTCGATTCCAGGGGTTCCAAACGGGGCGCCGCGGCTTTGTTCCTTCTTTGGAAGGGTTTCCCGTTTCAAGCTCAACCAACCCCCAAAAATGGGATGCCCCTGTATCTCACTTTGTTCCTTTTTGTTTGGGTTTTTGGTTCCCTTTCAAAGTCAACCAACCCCCAAAAATGGGATGCCCCCATATCCCACTTGTTCCTTTTTTTTTTTATCTGTTTCCCTTTCAAAGTCAACCAACCCAACAAATGGATGCCGATTCTTTCTCCCATGGCCACTGGGCAGCTGAGGCTTGGCCAAAAAGCCAAGCTGGCTTCTTTTGAGTTGGTACCCCCCCCCTTTTGGTGGTTGTTTATTGAAAGAAAAACCAAAAGGAGAGCTTCGAAGCCATTGTTGGAAGTCCCCCCCCCCCCCACGCACCCAAACGAGGAGCCGGTGGCGTCTTTCGTTTGAAATCACATCAAGGACATCTGAGTTTTCAATTCACCCCGCAATACCAGGTGAGGCACGGATGCAAATCCTGGTGCAGCACGTGGTTTTTGGGATGTGGGGGTTGATCAATGTTCCTTGTAGGCAATGTTGATTCCTCTAGCGAGAACAGGCAAGCCAAGTGGGATGCCAAGGCGATGCTGGATGTCCGTGAGAGTCCCTTGTCCTGCGTATTTGGGAACCCAGGGAACCGTTTGAGAGCGGCTGCACCTGAAGTCTCCTTTTGACCCTTTGAAACAGAACGTCATCCCATTTTTGAGTAATGACCAATCATTTTTTCATGTGGGACACGGGAGGCTCCACGAACCCCTCCAGAAACACCACGGTTTTCAGGGTTTTTTCCCCAGCTGGAAGCTTTGGGGTCGATGAGCCCAGATAGGCTCCGGGGTGGTCTGGGGCAGCCCTGAGGTAAGGTTCCACGAGGGTTCCACCAGGGTTCCACCAGGGTTCCACGAGGTTCTACGAGGGCGGTGCGACCACTAAAAAGAGCACCGCATGCTGCTGGGGATATCACCTGAGCTTATTCGCTAAACATGAAGAACCAGGTCGCTGTTTGCCCGGGCTCCACGTTTCTGGGACGGCGGGTCGATGGGGGATGAGGTGTGTGTTTGTTCTTCTTAGGGCTGGTTTTTCTTAGGTCTTGTTTCCCTGGCTACCCAGGGTCTCGGGTTGCTTGTTGGCTCTGATTGGGTGGTAGTTGGGAGCTGCTCGGGGCCGCTTTCATTCGTGGAATTAGGCTGGCTTAGGTTTTGCTCAGGGTGGGGCTTGGGTTGGTTTGGGTTTCATTAGGCTCGGCAAAGGGCATCCAGGCTGTTGTTGGGTGGGGTTAAGGCCGACTTTGGGGCTTGGGTTTAGGTGTGCTGCTGGTGGTCGCTTTAGGTTTTCTTTAGGGTGTCGTTGCGTGAGATTTGGCTGGTTTAGGATTTTTAGGGGCAACTCCCAACTGCCACCCAATCAGTGCCAACATGCAACCCTCGGCCCGTCCAAGTGAGGCTAGTGATGCAATGCGAACAACCAGCTAATTGGCAAAATCCAGCCCTAGGCAAACGAAAACATCTGGCTGTGGCCCAACAAATGCACCAAAATGGCACCTTGGGAACCAAAGACTAACACCTGCGACTCTTCTCTACCTGGGTTGCGCAAGACACCCTTAGCAAGGAATCCCCAAAGAATCCGTCCATGGAGACTGAGGGCAGGGGTCCCTACTGTGGATGGACGAAGTCCTGCGCCACCTAAGATTCCCTGGCATGATGATTCCCCTGTAAATACCAACAAACAAATGGTTTCAAACATGGTTTCCAAGTGGTGCGAACAGATTTTGTCCATCCACAGTATGTTGCGACACACACACACACACAGAGAGACACGCACAATACTCTGGAAATGTGTAAAAAAACATGGAGACTGAGGGCAGGGGTCCCGATGTTTTCCTTTTCAGCAGTTTCATTTTGAGCCACGCCCATCTCTACCCGGGTCGACAGGTTGCACCAGTCTCGTTGCGCGCCGGCGCGAGCTGCTGGCAGAGGCCGAATCTCGCGGAACACATCTTGCGAAATTCGCCGCACGAGTCGCAATCAAAATGGGAAACGGGTGACCCAGACAGCGGCAGTGGGTGCAAATCCTTTCTGCTATTTCTTTTTTTTGTTTTGGGGGGGAGGGTGCACCCCTTTAATTTAAAGACAACTACTTACCCCCCAAATGTGCCAATAGCCTTCTCTTTCATGCAAAGCCTTCTTGCTCGTATTTTGGGTGCGGACCTCCCGCCCTCGTGAAATGTTGATTATTTGCATGGTTTTGGGTTGACGCCTTTCTTTCTGGCTATTTGGAAACGGATCTTTGGACTTCACAATTGGTGGGAACTTCTCTGGGGATTTTCCGAGTTGGAGCTTTTCAGAAAGTCATGGTTCACAGGGTTGAGTGACTCAAAATCGAAGCTGGGCCGAGCTTCCAGCTTCCCCCATCCTTGCAACCTGGCTCAGCGCTTTCGGCGGCTTGGGTCTTGATTTCTGGTCTATGGTCTTCCATTTGCTTAAGAATATGTTAATTATACTTTCCCTTGTTTGTTTTAAAAGGAATTTATCACTACTGGATTATTATTTTTTTCAGGGGCCTTGACCAAATGGAAGTGGTCCATTTGGGTGGGCCAACGGAGCAGAGGACAGAACCGAATTCCGTTTGTGTTGTTGCACACCTGGGCTGCAGCTGGGTGGCTCGTCTTTTTTTGGTGGACCCCCTAAGTCCCCCAAGGTGGTGGTTTTCCTTTTCGTTTCCCTTTCAAAAGCAACCAAAAAGGGTAGCCTAAAAAAAGATACCCTGAAAACTCTCCAAAAGGATTCCGAAGGCGACCCAGGCGGAAGACGAGGGCGCCCCATCTGGCGGTTGAATTTTGATTCCGCTCGGCGCGCGAGATCCAGCACGCGGAGAGAGCCGCGGACAAGGCGGCGGAGGCGGCTCCAGAGGCTGGCAGCGGTGAGAGAGCGAGTGGTGTGGGTGCGCCCGATGGACCGAGGGTCAGTTCGGGTGTGTCTGTTTTTAGGGGACCCACCCCCCAAAAAACATATATATATATATGTATATATATATATTTTATAACGGTACCCCCATAGAATGTTAACCCCGGATCATGACCCCCTGGTTGATTAAGAATTAGGGGTGTGTCCCCTGTGCCACTTGTCACTACACCCCAGCATATGCGTGCGTGTAGCAGGTGGTACCTCTTTCTACAACCGTACGAAAAACAGTGAAACCGGCGCAAGACTGACGCGTAATCTCTCCGCCAACCTCTTGGCCGCAAGGGATTGCATTCACTGGTCAGTTTTCTTCTTGTGTACATTCTTCCACCCTCTGCGCCATAAGATAAAAATGTTCTTCGAAAGATGTGGCGTCTTCACGCGCGTGTTTCTCAAGTCTGACATCTGTATTGCATTGGTTGGAACATGGCATCAAGTTAGAAGTGTCGCCTGGCACCATTTTTTAGCCAGAGCTTCAATGACCTCCTTTTGACACGGTTGAGGTCTTGCTATGGCTGTGTCCCCGTTTCGTGGGAATCCGAACCACTATGGTTGCCCTGTAGGATGGGTTTGTAAATCCGGGTTCCCATCAACTCAGCAAGCCAATCCAACGGTGTGTCATGGACCCGTACTTGGACGGTCTCAGGGTGATTGCTGAATGTTGGTAGCGCCTAGCTGTATACAAGGGTTGCGAACCCGTGTTTTTGTTTGGCTTGTTTGACGCTCGTATGTTCCATCTAGTATTCTGCAAGTAGGTTGCATGGTTACAAGTCAACTCAACTTGTTCCACGTAGGAGCTATCTTCGAATGTAGGTTGAGCATCAATGTCGCGGCTGAAACGACATACATCTTTGTGAGCCTGCACCAATTACTACACATCAAGACCGAGGCGGCCGTGCTAGCACGTTCAAGCGCCAAAAGCATCACCAAGAAAGCATCAATGAAGAATGAATAATTCATGTATGAATCATCCAAGAAGGCATCACCAAGAATTCAAATCAAGAAATCATCCAAGAAAGCATCACATGTATAAACCTGATTTTTTGACAACCCAAAGCAGAATTAAGTGATTTCACCCCCCGGATCTGACAGGGACGCCGCAGCAAAATCAACCAGGGGTTGAGATCCGCGGATCCATTGTACAAAATGCGAACAGGAAGCCAATACATAGAAAGGTCAACACGTCGATCTCTATGTCAGTGTATCTGTTTTCATGGGGACCTACATGCAAGATGGACCAGGGGATGGAAAACAGACAGGAAATACGGATGATGTATCTCGGGGATCCACCTCACCCTATTTTGTGAGGCCAAGGGGAGGAGAATAGGTATCGATCTGGGTTGCACACTATGATTTTACAGCCAAACCTGAACTCCATAAAAGACGAACTAACATGACGTGAGTACGTCCTAAATAAGGGTGCTTTGAATATGCTACCAGGGTTTTGCAACTATATCAACCTTGTGAGGTTGGCTATCAAGCAGTATTCGCTTTGTTTGTGATGGTTCTTCTATGAGCTGTATGACATTCCTGCCGAATGGGCAATGCAACCTTGATTTCGGCACCACGAGTTCTGCATTCCATCCACCGGCCTCCATTTGGTCGAGAATGTGTTTCTATATCCCCTGGTGGTTTTAAAGGGAGTCTACCACTACTGTTTTTTCGCTTTTTCCCAGGGGACGTAGAGAAAAAACAAATGGAGGCCAGTCGTTCGTTCCGGAACCGGTGGAATGCGTGGATTTTCCCAAAGGACGCCTCTGATTTGCCGAATCGTTTGTTTGGGGTGATACGCGGACTAACTAGCGGGCCCATAGGTTTGTAACTATAGTTTACCTTTGGTGGCCATCTTTTGATATGGATGGGTTATTCATGTGTAAACCCAACCAGGGTCACTCAATGTCCCTTTTTTGGAGCCAGTTGCAATGGAAACCACCATTGATCAACTTCAGGGGGAATTCCTTCGTGACAGATTCCCAGCCAACCCACCCGGCGCTTCAGGTGCCGAGCTTGTGACAAAAAGAGAGAGCCAGCGGCTGGTCGCTTTTCGGGGGCATGGGGCTGTTCTCAAGGAGGCGTGAGGTGGACCTCAGCTTCATCAACCACTGTTTATTCATATGGGGTTGTCCGATTCTGGTTTTAGTGGGGATTCAGACAACTTTCGGAGGGGAACACCCCCATATTTATAAACAGGGGTTGACGAATATGGAGTCGGCATTCTTTCAACAGGTCTGGGCAATCGAAACCCGGGTAGAAGGAACGCAAGTTGGTCGGCCAGAAATGTGTGTCGCCCTTTGGTTTCTTTGCATGGTTTCCGCCCATTTAACCCGCAAACTCTAAAAGCTTTTGCAGAAGGGTCAGCTAAGTTGGATGGTTTCCAACGGGAGGCCAAAAGCAAACAAGCCATTCCCCCGATTTGGAGACACCCATGGTCTGTTCAATGCCCGCTTTTTGGAGTGCGTGGAAGTCAACCAAAGGGCACCCTGGGCTTGCGAAGCCGGTGTGGAACCGGAGGAGATGTCGCTTGTGCCATGGTCACAACACCCCTTTTGCACGGTCATGCAGACAGGGCTTTGGCCATATGCGAGTCGTCAGAATGGCCCTGGTATTGAGCTACTGTGGATGAATTCCAGCACCACCTAAGAAACCCCGGAATGATTCTGAGGTCAATACCAACAAACAATGGTTCCCCGTGGTTTCAAAGTGGTGCAGGATTTTGTTCATTTACAGTATGAAGGAGAAGACCTTTGGGTCTTAGCGTTGACCTCCGCGAAAGTTCCGCGAAAGGGGGTCGAGTGAAAGTTAAAGTTTTTGTTCGCGCAAGTTTTGTGTAGGGGTGGCTTGCTAGCAGGAATTTGTTGGATGGGTGCAGAGTGGTCCTTAGACGAATTACTGGGGTCTTCAATTCGCCAAGTTCGTAAGTTGTTGGTAACCTACGTTATATCCCACTTATAAGTCCCCCTAATTGGGGGTTAACCTTGTTATCTGGGGGTTATACCCCGAAGTGACCAACCACTTTCTAATTATGGCCAAACAGCCAAGTACCTTATTGGATAAATGGTTTGGTCTGAAGTCTAAAGTGTACGTTTCCTCCAAGACCACCTTCAAAGGGTGAGGGCCCCCTTCATCCTCAAAAATCGCCACGGCATGTTTGCGGATCATGGGTTTTCCGAAGGATAGTTTGGCTCCCATTCGTTCAGGGGATATGACTGAGTTTCTGAGGAGGCACGTTCTGGAACCCCCGCTACGAACTGCTCAGACTGCTGGTTTGTACCTGGACCCTCAAACTACCTTTTCAGACGGGGTATTGCAAACCAAAACTGTGGCTGGTGAGTTCAACCATTTTGAGAGTAGTTTGAGGGTGCAGGTAGATATTTCGGTTCATTGATTTGTCCAAGGTCTTTATGTTTATGAGAATTGAGGGATCTATTTTGGTCTAAGGCCAGACGGGGAGAGAGGTCGAGAGTTGCCTCGCAACGAGAGTGCCAGACGCATCTTGGTGGAACAACACATGTCTCACTTGCCCAAAGCCAACCTTTTGACCTTTTGGTTTCCCCCCTTTTGGTCCATTTTTCCAAAGGGTAACCTTGTATTGCTGGGTCCGATGGGCAAATGAAAATTGTCCTGGCGCTTTTGGTGTTTGGAAAGATTTGGATCCGTGGCCTGGGGAAGGGAGTCCTTCGAAGAAAACATGGAAAAAACAACAACACAAGTTATAGTCAGCCAGCACTCGTTCGCTTGTAACACTTAGGACCCGCTTGCACTTCGCAGCTTGAACCTCTTCATCAAAGGTCGAGCAGCCACTTGCGGGTGAGAATAACCTAGAACAGCTTAGCGCACTTATTTGTTTGTCCGCGTTTTTGTCGTCAAGTCTGGGGGGGGTGTTTAGCAAGTTGTCCCGTGGGTTGTGGCTTGGAGGTATTGAGCATCATCTTGCAAGAATCTTGCAGGGTCTCCTCCAGACAAAGTCGAAAACATAGTCTGAACATATGGGTCCTTTTTGTTGAGGGAACGTATGTTGGGGTGGCTTCCAAAGGGAAACCAACAGCAACACCTCCCCCCCCTTTTTAAAAGGTCCCCTCAAAAAGACACCCCCACATTATTTTCTGTGTACCGGAACCTTCAAACTACCCTTCACGCTTTCTGAAAAATCACCAACCAGTATCTGGGTTGGCGATATCAACCAAGTTTAAGTTGGTGGTATGAGATCCCTTGGCTTTCGTCACTCGTTGGCTATGTTTCCAGGGCTGGGGATCCTGTCCGAGATGTTGCAAGCGAGGGTGCCCAGGGTAGCTTGAGGGATGCACACATGACCTTTCCGGAAAGAAAAAACAAAAAACCAAAAAACAACATGGAAATCATGGCATGGGAATGAAATCATTGCGTTCTTAGGTGGTACGAAATGGATTTCGCAACCATCCACTGGTATGATTCTCTGTGTACCGTTTGTTTTGGTGGGCAGCTGAGTTTTCACTTCGCGAGGAGCTGGGGAGGTGTCAGAAGTGCGAGACCCCCATGGCGGTGCCAGAGTGCGCCTGGCTTCGATCGCCGGTACCAGCGAAGTTTCGGTGGCTACGGGAGCCTGGTGTTTGCTATTTGTCAGCATATTCCCTATGTAGAATTTTTGGCGGCTCCTCAAGGACCAGCCATGCATATCGCGGGCTTAAGAAAGCCTCGATGGATGTCCTTCGATCGGTGAGTTTTAGAAAATAGATGGGTTCCACTTTACCAGGGAAGACCTATATGTGTAGGGGTACCTTCCCCATTCTTTCTAGAGATCTACAGAATCCCAGGGAAAACGGCGATCGGTTTGTGAAAAGAACGATGGTTGAAAAGAATGGACAAGGAACCAAGCCCTAGAATACCCTTTCTCGCTTACCCCTGTTTCCCTCGCATTTTTGCTACTTGGGTATGAGTAAAAATAACACCACCAGGCGACCGCATGTTCTAGTCTTTGGTTGCATTTACCAGGGCAACCCATTTTGGGTACGCATTTTTGCACCACAGCCACTTTGCTTCAGAAAGTGGCAGCAGTCATGTGCCTGAAAAGTGCCTAAAAAATGCACGTCAGGCACAGAGTATGTCTTGAAATGGGGGGAGCCTGGTTTCCGTCAACAAGAGTCCCAAACACACACCCAGAGGAAAAAGTGGAGTGAGAAGCAGCTCAAACAAACATGCGGGAAGAGTTCAGCAAGTCTCATGGCCAAAGGGAGTCTGAGTTGCATGCCAGTTGAAAGGGCTTTCCAGCTTAAACGGCGCGATGGTGGGAATCAAGGGTGACCCCCTGTACGTGTTTGTTTCATCATTTGGCTTTGAGTTTTCAGAAGGAGCTCCCTCCAAAGCGATTTGAGGTTGCATAAATCGCCACCGTATTCTGTCCACCAAAGGGTCCCCAATGAAACAAAATACCGATTTGACCCTGCGCGGGCATGGATGGAATCGGAAGGCTCTCCAAGTTTTCATGTCAGGTTTGGTCAACTGCATGAGTCTGTGAGGGGCGCTCTAAATGTTTCACGACCGGACAAGCCCTACATGTCCCATGTGGGTCCCCTTAGCTACTGGGGATCCATCACTTGTGCGCCCCCTATGACTATGTCCTTTTTGGTTGTTTTACTCGAAAAATAGTTGGCACTGGTTTACCTGGTGGTTTAATCATCTACCAGGGAAACCCATGAATTTCCCCGAAAAGGACACCTATTCCTAAGAGGATTTTTTAGCGACTCCGGGGCTCCCATTACCACAGGAGGCCTTTTGGGGCCCCCCCTTCTGCCCATGTTCTCCAGGTACATTTGCAACAGCGCCGCGCGCCAGTGACCCAGTGCCGCTTCGAAGCGGCGTCCGATTTCGAGAAGTTTGGTAGGAACCCATGGCCGTTTCTTGAGCCATGCCGTTCCCTAGGCTTTTAGGTTTGTATAGGGTTTAGTGAAGATTCCAAACGAACCTCCAACTGTTTGGACCAAAACGTCTCCACTCAAATTGGGGTATCAAAATGGGGTTTCCACGCCATGATGGGTTTCCCTGTGCAACCCCAAAATAAATACCCTCAAAAGCACAGTGCACTTCCCTGGAGGCTCCACGACCGAGAAAAATGCATCCGGTCGTGACCCCAATGCTCCAATTCTCCCAAAGGCGCAAAAAACAAAACGCGCGGGTTTGCGGTAGGTGCCGGCTCCCGTGGACGTGTCTGGGCAGCGCCCAAGCAGAAGCGGACCTACGAGGCGTTCGGGGCAGGTAGGTGCAGGTAGTGGGCGTGTCCCCGGACATCCAGTGGTGCCCGCTCAATTTTCGTTGGAGGGAAATCCCGGAGAAAGATCAACCACCAGAAAGGAGGCCAGTTCTTCCCCATAGCCACGGGACCGGGGCCACAAATCTGTTGGGGAAAGGGGCTGGCCAAAAGGACGGCATACGCATCAAAAAGAAATTAGTTTAGGATCGGTCAACAAAACATCTGGATCAAACACAACTTATTCCAGACCATGTGAAGGAGAAGGTAGTTCGCAAGTTGGTACGCGGTGCAACTGGAGCAAAGGGCGGCTAGCAAGTCAGCATATGGCGGTTAGTAAGTTAGTAAGTTAGTAAGTTAGTAAGTTAGTAAGTTAGTAAGTTAGCAAGTTAGCAAGTTAGCTAGTAGCAAGTTGGCCAGTTAGCAAGTTAGCAAGTTTCCAAGTTAAGTCAGCAAGTTAGCCAGTTAGTTAGTTAGCAAGTTAGTAAGTTAGCAAGTTAGTAGTTGCGACAGTTAGTAAGTTAATAAGGTAGACTGGGGGGGGGGGGAGGCTATTGTGGAGGAAAGGGCAGTTAGCGAGGTAGCAGTGCTAGTTCTACTACTACCACTACCACTACTACTACTACTACTACTACTACTACTACTACTACTACTACTACTACTACGACTACGACTACGACTACGACTACGACTACGACTACGACTACGACTACGACTACTACTACCTGTTTATTTTTTTTTGATCCTGCATTTTCTTTTTATTAGTCCCTCAGCCCAAAAGGACCGGAAGAGCGAGCTC